CTCAGCCAGCCTCAAATGAGTACGTGGTGTAGCGGTGTGTAGTAAACATCGCCACTCGGGAGACAAAGGCGGCCGGGCGTGGTGCTGGCCACCCACCCGCTCGTGTGATGTGCCGGCCTTCGTAGGCGCCACTCGCTGACAGCACTTTCCCCAACAGTGTGTTAAGGCTATATGGGGGGCATATTTGTCCGTTTGGTGGTGGTGCTGCTGCTGCGGTTTTAGCGAATGATAATGACGATGATAGCGATGACGACACCGATGGCGGGTGGGTGTTCGGCGGGAGGAGGGCGGCGAGGATGGCGGCCCTCCCGGACTCCGCAAGAGTCCCGCAGGCTTGGCCCGGCGCCATCCACGTGGCCCCAAGCCGGTGCCAGCGACGCAGACTCCTGCCTCGTACTCCCCCCACCACCCCCCACCACTTCTTGGCGGAGTCAATCGGCTGAGCAAACACAAATGCTTGAGAGGGGTTAACGAAGTGGCGAGCGTGAGCGGCGAAACGACCCCCACCCACACGCCATGCCAGACCCCAGGCGTGGCCACATGGCACTTTTGACCCCCCCCCACGGGGGTTGGGACCCGGGGGTAGATTTAGTCTTGGAGTGGGAGGGGGGACATGAGCAGGGTTCATCTTGGGGGGTCATAGAGAGTTTGGGGGGGGGGGGGAGTTGTGGTATTTGCTGTGCTGGGTACAAGAGTAGGTTTCGCTTTAGGTGGAGGTCATGGGGTAGATTTAGTCTGGGGAGGGTGGCGGAGGTCTGTGAAGGGGGGTAACGACGAGGATTTGTTGCTGATGTTGTAGCGCCCTCCTGTGTACGCCGCCCGCCGCCGGGGCGTCTCGGAGAGCGCCCCGCATCCGCACCTCCTTCGCCGCGGCACGTTTTGAAATGGCGCCAACCCACCCCTCCACAGTGGTAGCTGTCTCTGTGGGCACAAGGTGACTGCAAACTGGCATTCGTCTGCCAGCCGTGGGGGGGCGGGGGGGCGACAATCACCGCCGTGTTTGTGTTACGAAGGGTCAGAGTCAATCTCGGGGTAAATTTTTTCTTTGATTCTCAAGTTTGGCAAATTCGGCGACGTCGCGCCCGGCGCACGACGGCACGATCTTGCGGACGATGTCACGGGATCCCTTGTCTCGGCCGTCTGGAACGCTCTTCCTTTCTGATATTAGGAAGCCACTGGAGCCTTGTACTTTTAAATAATCTAGATTGAAAACTCGTTTCTTTAGAACCGCTCTTTGTGTTATATTGTCGTCCTTCCCCCCGCACCTCCGATTTAGCACGGTTGGCTATGTACTGTGCGAAAGAAGTTCACCAAACATACATACGTGTATGATATTAGAGCGCCACTGGAGCTATGCACTTTAAAATTACATAAATAAGCAGGCTTTGGATTTGAACCGTGAGCCTCTGCGCCCCCCCCCCCCCCCCAGCTGGGCCACGTGTCACCCTCCCGGGTACGTAAGACGCTGTGACCCCTCATTACCAATCGAGAGACCCGTTGAGACTTTAGGAGAGTCGGTCTCTCTCCTTTCCCTGTGATAGAGCCGGGCGAAATATTTTGGGAGGAGGGTAGCGTCTTGGTAAAGTTTCAAGACACCCGATACCGCACGAACGATGCGTGATAAAACATAAATACAGCCGCTTGTTGCCACAATTCCCTTGCGTCACCTCCCCCCCCCAGGCCAGCCTCGCGGATGACCCAATTAACTCATTGAGCCCTTTTTAACCAGGGCCCTGTCGTAGGCACGCGAAATTGCCACCTGCCGGCAAACGGAACCGGAGCGTGGTCGCGCGCGAGGTTGTCGCGTGAAGACGGTCCGTTGCAGGGATTTCGTAAACCCGCGCTGAGAAAGCCCGTTGAGATGAAAACTGAAAGAAATGTACAAGGGATTTTGTCAATTTGCATTTTAATGAGTGAACAAGCTGGGAGGCCCGGACAATAAGGGGGGTAGCCTTCATTTGAATATTCTTTGGGTCTTTCGGTAAAGTCACGGAGATTGGTTCAAAGAAAATAAACTACGACGTTTCGATCGCAGCACAAGCGATGATGACGACCTCTTGTGTTGCGATAGGAACGTCGTAGGTTTTTGTTATTTCCTTTGAACCGTGACATTACTCAAAGACCCAAAGAATATGAATTCCTGCAGTCACGAAAGCTTTAAGTCAAGATTTAGCCTTCATTTTGTTTGGGCATTTGTCGGAAAGGTGGGGGGATGGGGGGGGGGGCTTGGTGTGAACCAACGTGGCTTACTAGGAATGGGTAACCATATCACTAACCTATCATTAGGTTGGTGATAGGATTACCAGAAGCGGTAACCATATCACTAACCTATCATTAGGTTAGTAATAGGATTACCAGAAGCAGTATCCATTTCACTAACCTATCATTAGGTTAGTGATAGGATTACCAGAAGCGGTAACCATATCACTAACCTATCATAAGGTTAGTGATGGAGTTAATTGCAATTGAAAGCTAATTTCTTCAGAACACTTTTTTGTGTTTTTTTTTAGTTCTTCCCCGCACCTCCGATTATCCACAGTTGGCTACGTAAGGGTGCTAAAGGAGTTCAACGCTTGCTTGGCAGTAGCTGCGATGATACGTCGCCGGTTCTGATTATTCTTACTGGCGCTTGGCGGAGAGCGGTTGTGCGTGGCGGCGACGCTTGGCACTCCGCACGTGTTGGATGCGACGCGCACCGGTCCCGGCTAGTCTCGCCTTCGCCGGCCAGGGTGGGGGTGGGGAGTGGATCCGCCGCGCGTGCGCGCGCGCGCGCCTCGTCTTTGAGGTAATGTCGCGCGTGTCACAGATAGTTGTCTTGTTCTTGGTTCTTTCGGTAAAGTCATGTAGAATTGAAATAATAAAATAATAAAAATTAAACATGATAAAATAATTCTCACGACGTTTCGGCCACAACGCAGAAGACAGTCAGACTCTGTCTTCTCGACAGACCTATTCTCCACCTGAGGACGGCTGCTTGCGTTGTGGCCGAAACGTCGTGAGAATTATTTTATTATGTTTTATTTTTATTAATTTATTATTTCCATTCTATGTGACTTTACCGAAAGAACCAAGAAGATGAATCCCTGCAGTCACGAAAGCTTTACATCGAAAGTTGTCTTGTTATTACTACTGTAGTACCTTTGTACCCCATGGCACACCGTGGAAGAAGGGGAGAACGGGAAAGGGAGCGGTACACTGCCGGGACAGAAGCCCCCCCCAGAGAAAGAGGGTCAGGGGGGGGGGGCACGGCTCGGGATGAGCAGCAGGAAGGAGCGGGAGTGGGGAATGACCACGGGTCAAGATGTTGGGGCTGATGAGAGGGAGGTGAAAATGAGAGCGGAGGAAGGAGAGAAGGGGGGCATCACGGTGGCTATGAGATGTTAACTACCTCGCCTGGTACGCACGAGGTAGTGGGTTCGATCCCAACCCTGACGCCTGCTGCTGCTGTATATTTAGAGTTTGCGTGTCTCTCTCTCTCATCATCATCACGGTGGCTATGAGATGTTAACTCCCTCGCCTGGTACGCACGAGGTCGTGGGTTCGATCCCAACCCTGACGCCTGCTGCTGCTGTATATTTGGAGTTTGCGTGTCTCTCTCTCTCATCATCATCACGGTGGCTATGAGATGTTAACTCCCTCGCCTGGTACGCACGAGGTCGTGGGTTCGATCCCAACCCTGACGCCTGCTGCTGCTGTATATTTGGAGTTTGCGTGTCTCTCTCTCTCATCATCATCACGGTGGCTATGAGATGTTAACTCCCTCGCCCGCTATGCAGGAGGTCGTGGGTTCGCTCCCAACCCTGACGCCTGCTGCTGCTGTATATTTGGAGTTTGCGTGTCTCTCTCTCTCATCATCATCACGGTGGCTATGAGATGTTAACTCCCTCGCCTGGTACGCACGAGGTCGTGGGTTCGATCCCAACCCTGACGCCTGCTGCTGCTGTATATTTGGAGTTTGCGTGTCTCTCTCTCTCATCATCATCACGGTGGCTATGAGATGTTAACTCCCTCGCCTGGTACGCACGAGGTCGTGGGTTCGATCCCGACCCTGACGCCTACTTTATATTTGGATTTTGCCGTGTCTCTATCCCTCCCCCGGTTTTTCATTCCACATTTTTAGAATCGACGTGCGTTTCCAGTGTTTGGCTGCCGCTATAATTTTCGACATAATGATAATCCACTTGGTTATCATCTGTGGCCAAGTCAGCTTCTGAACAAGAGCTATGCAGCTCACTGGGGCCTTACCTCGTAAAATAAAAACAGTTTATGCTTTAGAATAGTGTTAGAGAAGGAGCTGCTTGCATGGAAGAGGAGCGGGGTCTGTTTTCACGGTGGGCGGGGAGATGGAGGGTGGGGCCACGTCAGAGGTCGCAAACGGGTTTTGATTCCTTACCCGTACCCGGCCGCACCAGGGTCGCAAACGGGTACCCGTACCCTACCCGTACCCGGCCGGGTACGGGTAGGGTACGGGTATCGGGTACCCGATTGCGACCTCTGGGATGAAGCCATGTTGCAGGCACGGGTGGGTTGATTCTAGGAACTTGAATTGTGAGAAGAGACAAGACGTTGGGAAATGAGTGACAAACGGTTACTCACCAGTGACTTATGGCCTACCCGTACCCGTACCCGGCCGCGCCAGGGTCGCAAACGGGTACCCGTACCCGGCCGGGTACGGGTAGCCGGGTATCGGGTAGGGTACGGGTATCGGGTAGGGTACGGGTATCGGGTAGGGTACGGGTATCGGGTATCGGGTAGCCGGGTATCGGGTATCGGGTAGGGTACGGGTATCGGGTAGGGTACGGGTAGCCGGGTAGCCGGGTATCGGGTACGGGTATCGGGTAGGGTACGGGTAGGGTATCGGGTAGGGTACGGGTATCGGGTAGGGTACGGGTATCGGGTACCCGGTTGCGACCTCTGGGCCGCGGTGGGCACGGGGAGGCGTTTGAGCCAATTATGTAAACGGGTAATAATAACAATGTTCTTTGTTTTATCTGGCACAGTTGGGCAACGGCATGGCGGATCATGACATCGACTTCAACACCGGCGACGCCGGCGCCTCGGCCACCTTCCCCCAGCAGTGCTCGGCATTGCGCAAGAACGGATACGTGGTCCTCAAGGGACGCCCGTGCAAGATCGTAGAGATGTCGACCTCCAAGACGGGCAAACACGGCCACGCTAAGGTGAGCGGGGGGCGGCCGTGCCGTCGTCGCCGGTTGCAACGGGGGGGGGGGGGGTGTTAACTCCTTCGCAGGAGGTCGTGGGTTTGATCGCGACCCTGACACCTACTGTATATTCGGAGTTTGCGTGTCTCCCTCTCTCTCCCCGTGGTCGCGTGAATTTTTCTCCGGGTCCTCCGGTTTTCCCCTCCACGTTGAATATTTGGCCGATGCAAATTTTCCACGCGATAAGCCACTTTGTTGAGCTATCATTTGTGGCCAGGTCGCTTTTGAAAAGAGCTATACAAAGCGAAGGGTGGGGCCTTACCTGTTAAAACAAAAATATAGTTTTAATAGTTCAGTTTTTATACACTGGATCCGTGGATCGGTTGAGGGGGTCCGAGCGGGCGGTGGTCGTCCTCGTGTGAGTCGCGTACAATTTGTAACGGGCGACGTTGGCCACGTTAACGCCTGCCGCCTTAATCCTTTCTCCCGTTTCGAGACGTTCTGCAAGTTGCAGGGGCGGCGTCCCCCCCGCTCGCCGCTGAATCTCGGGACGCTGCTCGGCCGTTCATTTTATTTAGAAAGGCGTAGTAGCGCCGTTGTTTTTAAAGCCCAAGGTGCAAATGCCGATTTTAAACCCTCCACCACCCGCATGGCATGGCCGGGCGGCCCGGCGCGTGTGCGGGGGGAGGACATCGACTGTCTAACCGCCTCTCGATTCCGCTCCCCCCCCCCCCCACGCGCGAACGCAGGTCCACATGATCGGCATCGACATCTTCAACGGCAAGAAGTATGAGGACATCTGCCCCTCCACCCACAACATGGACGTGCCCAACATCAAGCGCAACGACTACCAGGCACGCAGCCGCCCCCCCCCCCCCCCTCTTCTGCTGTCCGTACTCTCGTGGATTCTCAACTACGCACGGCCTCTCCTCTGCTGCTCTGCCATCGCCTCCCGCTCGCACTCTCCTCACCTCCCTCTCTCCTACGCTCCACTCTTACTCTCTCCTACTCACCCCGTCACTTCCCCTCCCATCATCTCCCTTCTCCCCTGCTCTCTTCCATCAGCTCGCCTCATCTCCGCCATCCTCCCATTCTCCCCCCTTATACTCTCCTCCCTCTCTCTCCTCCCTCTCCTCTCACCCTCTTGTCCCACTCGGTGATGACCACTCCTGCCACCGGGGCTCTCTAAATCACCGCCGGCTCCTGTCGTGGCTCTACACGCGTTAGCCCGGTGTAGCGCGGTAAAAACCGGGGAGAGACGCTGGGTGGCCAGGCGTTGCTCCGGCAATATCATCACCGCCCTTGTTGCGCCCGTGTACCTTAATAGGTGCTCGCCAACAGTGCCGCCTGTTAAAGGGGGGAGATCATTGTGCGGCGGGGAGCGGCGGAGACCCGAGTTCGATTCCCGCTCACGGCCAACGCCCGTTCACGATTACGCTAACCGGTCCTCGGCCCTCCCCTAGGTCGACTTGACCTCAAATGAGTACCTGGCGCGATGTGTAGACATCGCCACTGGAGAGACAAAGGCGGCCGGGCACGGTGCTGGCCCACCTCCCCACCCCCTCGTGTGCGGTTCGGCCTTCGTGGGGGCTACTTGCCCCAGAGTCTGCCGAGGTTACATTGGGGGGGGGGTTGATCTCTTGTTGTTGTGTTTGCATGCACAGCTGATTGGCATCCAGGACGGATACCTCACCCTTCTCATGGACAATGGCGAGCTGCGCGAGGACCTGAAGCTGCCCGAGGGCGAGTTGGGCAAGGAAATCGAGCAGAAGCACGAGGCCGGGGAGGAGATGCTGGTGAGTGGGGAGGGCTCCTTGGTCGGCAGCCGAGATGGTGCCAAAATAGGTGCCCTTTTGAGGCCCGTCGCGTGAAGCCGTTGCAAGGCTCTCGATGCCGCCGGTGGAGCTGACGGGGCAAGAACCCCCCCCCCCCCTCCCACCAGGCGCTGTGGGTGGACGCACCGAGGCGACCTGGCAGATGTCACCGTGCACCACGTGCGCTCTTGCCACCTTCTTGGTTCTTTCGGTAAAGTCACGTAGAATGGAAATAATAAAATAATAAAATAAAACATGATCAAATAATTCTCACGACGTTTCGGCCACAACGCAAGCAGCCGTCCTCAGGTGAAGGGATTCATCTTCTTGGTTCTTTCGGTAAAGTCACGTAGAATGGAAATAATAAAATAATAAAATAAAACATGATCAAATAATTCTCACGACGTTTCGGCCACAACGCAAGCAGCCGTCCTCAGGTGAAGGGATTCATCTTCTTGGTTCTTTCGGTAAAGTCACGTAGAATGGAAATAATAAAATAATAAAATAAAACATGATCAAATAATTCTCACGACGTTTCGGCCACAACGCAAGCAGCCGTCCTCAGGTGAAGGGATTCATCTTCTTGGTTCTTTGGTAAAGTCACGTAGAATGGAAATAATAAAATAATAAAATAAAACATGATCAAATAATTCTCACGACGTTTCGGCCACAACGCAAGCAGCCGTCCTCAGGTGAAGGGATTCATCTTCTTGGTTCTTTCGGTAAAGTCACGTAGAATGGAAATAATAAAATAATAAAATAAAACATGATCAAATAATTCTCACGACGTTTCGGCCACAACGCAAGCAGCCGTCCTCAGGTGAAGGGATTCATCTTCTTGATTCTTTCGGTAAAGTCACGTAGAATGGAAATAATAAAATAATAAAATAAAACATGATCAAATAATTCTCACGACGTTTTGGCCACAACGCAAGCAGCCGTCCTCAGGTGAAGGGATTCATCTTCTTGGTTCTTTCGGTAAAGTCACGTAGAATGGAAATAATAGAATAATAAAAATCAAACATAATAAAATAATTTTCAGGACGTTTCGGCCACAACGCAAGCAGCCGTCCTCAGGTGAAGGACGGCTGCTTGCGTTGTGGCCGAAACGTCGTGAGAATTATTTTATTATGTTTGATTTTATTATTTCCATTCTACGTGACTTTACCGAAAGAACCAAGAAGATGAATCCCTGCAGTCACGAAAGCTTTAAATCGAAATAAATCTTGCCACCTTGCTGCGTTTTAGCCGCACCGGCATGACCTCCGCTCGCTTGTTGCTCGCGAGAGCACCGGACGCGCGCGCTAGGACTTGACCCGCCTAGTGACTTCTTTCTTTCGTGTGGCTCGTACAAATGGCTTGTTGCGGTGGTGGTGTTGTTGTTGTTGCTGCTCTGAAGACAACCGGGAGGTCGATTATCGATTCGATGTTCGGTCGCCGCGTTGATGGCGTTCGTCGTGACTTCTCACTTGAGGCCTCGTGAGGGCTGTTGCCATCTTCCGCTCCGACTGTGCCACCCACGCCCTGCCGCGTGGCCGATAGTTATTTTACTTTTCAGTTTTTCTTCCGGTTTCCGAACGGAATGGGAAGGAAAAACCGAGAGACGGACCCGCGGGAGACAAAGTACGCACACCACACGGACGGGAGACCTACCCCGGAGACGGACACATCGGACGCCGACGGGACGCACGGACAGACAGACGCCCTGATTTGCAGAGTTTCGGGCAAAGAAACACGCCAACGGACGTCACCCATAGCCTGTCGGGGCCAGATAATTTTTAGACGGATCGCAGCACAATTGACAAATCGAGTTACGGAAATGTTAAAACTGGACGCGCAAACAGAGCGAGGGTAGTGGGGGGAGTCGTAATGCGATTCGCAATGTGTGTGGGTAGAGACTTCCTCATCTCCCCCCCCCCACCTCCCAGGCCCTCGCCACGTCCCCCCCCCCCCCGCCCCTAATTTGTACAGCACCCTTGAGATGCGTTCGCGTCGGAGACGTTTCACGCATTTACACCATTGGAACCTCATTTGCCAGTAAAAAAAACAATTATAATTGGTTTTTTACCCTTCTATCTGGCAACAAAACTGACACCTTTTTTACAAGGAGTCATGTTTGCATAGACCACAATACCTGCAGCAGTAATGCAAACAAAAAACATAACTCTGATAATATCAACTTCAAGGTCAGTGCATATATTATCAGAGTTATGTTTTTTGTTTGCATTATGGCTGCAGGTATTGTGGTCTATGCAAACATGACTCCTTGTAAAAAAGGTGTCAGTTTTGTTGCCAGATAGAAGGGTAAAAAACCAATTATAACGTTTCACGAATCCAACTTGGCGACGTGAAAGCCTCCCCAGAGAGGGGAGGGGGGGGTCCCCCTTTAACTTTTTGCTGCCACATTGGCTGTTTTTTGCCTGCTGGGTAATTGTTGTTGGTTCCCCCTCCCCCCCCGACTTGAGATCTTCGTGGGTCGAGGCTCGTTCCCTGCGGGTGACGGGACTTTATGCAGTGCAGCTACCGAGCTCTTGGGAACGCTTTAGCCCCTTGCTAATGAGACGGTGGGAGCCTTTCAAAGTCCCGTCTTGACATCTCGCCTTCTTAAATTTGGCCTTCATATCCGCTAGCTTTGGCCGTTTACTCTGCAGGTTCTGTTGATTTCCTGTCCGAGTCAAAGTGCTATGCGATAAATAAGGGCCATAGCCTGAAACGTCGCCTGTTAAATATATATTTTTTACCTTTCAAGGGCCTCTGTGTTGTTGACGAACGTGTGTTGAGGAGTTCTCTCCAGCAGCAGAGCGTGCAGGGGGAAGGTGTATCGTGTGGGCCTAGGTGGGGTCACTTGGAATTAATCTCGGATATAGTTCTGTGGTGTCTCATTCCGCGGGTTGCCCTCGTGGTGCGCCGCATTTTGCCAAGCGTGTGGCACGTCACGGGGTGGCGTGATGTTATTAACTCCTTCGTCTGGTATGCAGGAGGTTGTGGGTTCGATCCCAAACCCTTGACGCCGGTTGTATATTGGCGTTTGCGTATCTCTCTTTGCGTGGTCGCGAGTTTTAGTCCGGGTCCTCCCGATCTTTCCCTCCACATTTAGAATCAACATCGTGGCTTTAGAGTATTTTGCCGCTATCGGATACTTCAGGGCAGTGAGTGCAGCCCTTTGTATTTTGTAAATCTCCACCGAAGCGGATATTACAGCTACCTCCGAGATCCCTTCAAGTGGCCTTGAGGGTATTTTTGGCTGCTATAAATGTTCACACGACAAGGCACTTTCCTTGAGCTATCGTTTTCGATAGCCAGGCGGCAGTTTGGGTGGACCTTACCCTGGTGAAATTAAAAGTTTTGGTTTAATTTGCTTGTCGACCCATGAAAACCTCGCCAAGTCTCATGACTCATTCAGGAGGGTCAGGAGTACGTTTCAACAGTCGGGGGACCCATTTTGCAATTCACAATCCCAATTGAATCAAATCTACAGGTCATTTCTCAGCATTGGGATGTTTGGCTCGTACCCAGTTTAAAGTCCACGTTTTTTTTCTCTTCCCCTCTTAACGGGCGACATTATCGCTTATCACACTTTTAGTTAATTTAGTAAATGGTTTCGAATATAATTGTTTTCACGTCGAGTTGTGTGTTGCTCCTGTTACATGTACAGCGCTTTGAGATCCGATATGAAAAACCACTCTATATAAATGTAATTGTTATTGCTCATGTTAGCAGCCACGGCAGGATGTTTAGCTGGCCAGGTTTATCGCGAGGCACACGAACTCCTAGCGCCAACCCTCTCCGCCCCTTGCGTCAAACTCAAAGTTAACTCTGTGTTCAGAGCTGCCGTTGGATTTGGGTGAAGAGGGGGGGGGGCGGGAGAGAGAAGGTCAATTTAATTCAAATGGGAAACGCGTCACCAGCCTCTCCGACGCCCGCGCCAGCGTACAGACGCGCTCTCTAGCGACGGATCTCCGACTGTGGACGTGCGTGTGACTCCTCCTCCTCTCTTTCTTCTATATTCTATATTTAGTGTAATTTTTTCTGTCTACACTCGTTTTTTGTCGTTCTTATGTTCTGCTCTGTCTGTGTGTCTCCGTTCCTCGTGTTTTTATGTTTTGTCTTTCTTTGGAATTTTCACACTTAAATTCTAACTTAGCAATCTTTGAAATACGTAATCGACCAGGCTATGCGTTAATTGTGTGTTGACCGACTCTCTGTGTCATTTTACATAACATTTCGATACTTTGCTGGGTTATTTAATATAGTGTGTTCTTTCTCCCTCTAAGCCTGCGTACTTTACTACGCGTTTCATTGACATGTAACTCATTCGTACTCATTGACATGTAAATTTTTTCTCTAACCCCTCCCTCTCTGCCTCCGCCCCCCTCTGTCTATTTAAGGCCACCCCACAGAGACGATCACCCCTCTCTGTACCTGGGTTGCTCTCTATGTATCTTGGTGATATCTGTCTGCTAATATGTCTGTCTATAGTTTTCTGGTTAGATTTTATGTCGCTATTTCATTTATACCTGATGATGATTGCTTGTGTTGCAATCGAAACGTCGTATGCTATTATTTAATTTATTATTTTATCTTTATACGTGACTTTACCGAAAGAACCAAAGAATAATTCCTGCAGTCACGAAAGCTCCAAAATTAAGATTCCCCTCTCTCTGTGTCGTCTTCGTGTCTCCAGGTCACAGTGCTGTCCGCCATGAATGAGGAGAGCGCTGTGGGCATCAAGGCGATGGCTAAATAAGGCGGGTTGTGGGTGAGTCACGCACACGCAGGGCCCAAAGCGCCACTCTCACCACCGACGATTCGCACGATTCGAAATCGCAACCTGTGGGCGCCCGGCGGTGCCAGTCGTGCGTCGGGCCGCTGACTAAATCGACGCGTCGCGATGCAAGTGTTGTGAACAAGCCGCCCCCCCTCCGCTCTCCTAGCCGCTACCGAGGCGTGTTCAGTCCCTTGCTGTCTAAGAAGTGAGACGACGCGGGAGCGGGAAGCGGATGGTTAACCGACTGGCGTGTGTGTGCGCGTGTGTGTGTGCGTGTGTGTGCGTGCGTGCGTGTGCGTGTGTGCGTGTGTGCGTGCGTGCGCTCGTCTTTCTCTCTTCCTTGCCCCGACCCTGCAGCCTTGCTTATTGGAGGTGTGAATGCTAACAAGAGAAGACAACACAAGTTTATTAAAATAACAGAAATCACTGCGATCGACCGACATTATCCAGGCCCAACCCAAACATTTAGTTTTATTTTCCATAAAAAAACAACCCCCCACACACACAATCTGCCGCCCCCCCCTCCACACAACTCCTGAAAACTAGAAGACAAATTAGCAAAGAGGTTTTTTTTTTAGCGAGATCTCTTGATGCCAAGGGACACCCCCCCCCCCCCCCCCCCCCCCGTAAGAAGGCGTTCGGCCCATTCCAGTCTCGCCCTGTTCCTTCGAACCAACCAAACCACCCACGGCGGTCAGCGTCGCCGCCGGTCAAGCACTGCTGAGACCGCGCTCCGCTGGCAAGGGGTAAAGGGGAACGAGGCGGCGCTACCCATCCGTGCGTCCCTTCAAGTCCTGCTCCCCCCCCCCTCCACCTCGTATCTACACGCAGACTCACGGATCCGCTCACCCCACCCACCCCAACCCGTCCCTCGTCACCAAGCCCCCCACACGAACCGCAGACGTCTGTGACTCGATCACCCGTGGGTTTCTGATCTCGAGATGGAATGCGAAGCGATGCGTGCGCACAGAAGCAAAGTGTAACCGTCGACAACAGCATTTTTTGGCCACAACGCCTTAGCACAGCTTTGCCTTTTTACTTTTTTTTTCCCCCCCGTACCCGCCGCACCCACCGCCCCCCCCCCCCCCCTCCTTAAAAAAAAAAGCCGACAAGTAACAAAAAATAAAAATTCTACACAACAACAAACGTTTGCTCGGGTCCGTTGCGTGGTCTAAACCTTCCACACCCTCCCCCAATACCACCGCCTCGCAATCCCAGAATCAAGAGGGTTGGTGGGGGTCGCGAGAACTGCCGACCTCTGCCAAGCGACGACGGTTTAGCGGTGGCGCTCGACTGGAATGCGGTGGCCGCACCTCGACCAAGACTTGGCGCTCCTCTGGGCTGCTTGCGCTGTCCGTCACTCCCCCCTCCCTCCCCCCGTCCACCCCCCCCCCCACCCCGCCGTCCCAACACTGCCGATCACCCGCCCCGCCATGACGGCCGACGGATAGGAATAACTTCGACTAAAAAAAAAGCCGAATGGATGTTCCTGTTCGGAGGAAGAAGACGACGACGATGGTGGAGGGTGTGGGGGGGGGGCGTTGGTGGCCGTCACGTTTCTTGCGTCGTCGAGAACCGAGAGAGGACGGGACAGAGAGTCGGGAGAGGTGCGTCCGCGCTCGTGACAAAAGTGAGATCAAGGAAACAAATTAAAACCACGACAAGCGGGAGGAGAGAGGAGCCCCGTTTGTAATCGATACACCCCCCTTACCCCCCCACCCCCCCCTGTGTTGTGGGCGAAGCGAGCGGACCGTGCCGGCGAGGGCGACGATCCCCGCCGGCTGCCTGTGACCGTAGTAAGGCGGTCGCACGGCGTGTGTCTGGCCCGCGTCATACTCCAATGTTGCTGCGCAGTGCTATGAATAATAAACATTACGAGGCCAGCTGGCGTCTCCGCGTCTTCTTCCTTCGCGCCGTCTCCACCTGCGTCGCCGCCTTTCCCGGGGTGGTGATGGGGGTTGAGGGTGGGGTGGGGGTCGTGCGACGTGGCCGCTCGCGGCTCTGGCGCAACAAGTCGCTGTCCCCTATTCGTCCCCCTCACCCGGTTGGGGGCGTTCCCTCCTTTGGCTGCCGTTCCATCGTTGGGCTTGACCGCGGGCAGCCGCTGCCCCCCAGGCCCAGGTGGTCTCTACCTCCCGACTTTGCCGGATGGATGTTGGGCGATCCAAGGTTGGGGCGATTTTTGGAAAAATGTAACTGGTTAAAATAAATAAAAAAAAAGCAGCTTTAGACTTTGGGGCGAAGATTTTATTCGGCGTACATTGCCCGCTGTGACTTGAGTTGCAGTCTCTGTGGGTTGCATCTTAGCCCGTGGGTTCTGTGAGTTGTGTGTGAGTAGATACAGCCCCAGTGTAAGCCAAGCAGACCTGTTCCAAGTCTGGAATAGGGGTTTTCTGGTAGTGGCTGCGTCATGCAAGTGTGTGGGTCTCGAAGACAAAGTTAGCTCTGCACGTACTGGGGGTCCCGTGCTCCGTTGATAGGCCTTGTGTGAATCAATGAGTCTTATTACTGGTAGGAACCACCTGGTTCCACCAGCCCACGGGATTATTGTGTCCATCCGTCTATCCAAAAATGGGGTGGGCTGGGTGGGGAGGGGCTGGTCACCCCGTGGTGCCGTTATAAAACTCAACGTTTAACCTACTCACGCCGGCTTGTGCCCGCCCTTACAGTCAGGCATATTTGCGGAATGCACCACGCCGCCGTTGACCCTGGCCATTGACCAAGCAACCCAACGTTCCTACCAGCTCCCTCCGCAGGAATGTGTTAATATATGGGTCTTGTGTAAGGGTCCTGTGTAGGTCTATGGGTCCCGATGTGAATGGGTTCTATGCAAGTCTATGGGTCCTATACAAGTCTGTGCCTCTAAGAATTGCTGTGTGGCAATGTCTGAGGTCCTACGGTCGTCTTGAGTCTACGAGCCCTTTTCATATTTCTGGTAGGGGTCCTGCAAATAATGAGCCATTTTTTATTTGGTAAAAATGTTGAGCCGCCAATGAAACGTGAGTGTGAGAGGGTCATTTTAAAGATCCCGCAGGCTTGCCGACCCCGTGGTCTTGTGTTAATGTTTGTTCTCTGGGTCTTCCGTGGCGAGCCACAACTAAAACCCCCCACGGGGCGGACCTGTCTCGAAAGTTCGAATGGGGCAACAGCTCCTGAACACTGGGGAAGTCGATCACACGCAGGGCTCCAGTGCCAGCCACACAGGCAAACTATATATATTTTTATTATTTTACTAGGTAAGGCCTCGCAGAGCTATGTAGCTCATTTTCAGAAGCGACCTGGGCACAAATGACCACTCAACGAAGTGGCTTATCACGTGGACATTTATCGCAGCCAAAAACTCAAACTCACGTCGAGTCTAAATGTGGAGGTAAAAACCGGAGGACACGGAGAGAAATCAACGCGACCACGGGGAGAACACGCAAACTCCAAATACAAAGGGGTCGAGATCAAACCCACCTCTTGTCTACCAGGCGAAGTATTTAACGTCTCGCAGAGATGCGAGTGGCACTCCGCAGAGGGAGATTCACTCCCCTCGCGATGGGTTGATAAAACATCAACACATCTAGGCACAGTTTTTCACCCCAAGGTCAGTACAGATGGCAGCGGCATTTTTAAATCCTTTATATTAAGTTTGCTTGCTTGCTTAGGACCGTGCAAATCTTTCGGTCGTTTTTTAACCCACTTCCCGTGATCCAATCGAGCTGACATTTTGCACACAGACTTGTTGTGCGAGACAATGTTCGTGAAAAAAAATTCCAAAATTTTACACTGTTTAGGGAAAACAAATTAAATATTTAATTACCAATTGTTTAATACTGGCAGACAATCATCTGACCCATAGGTGGCAGCCATCTCAAGCCAGAGGACGAGAGGACTCTAGCCGCCACGCATATAAAGGATTTATAGTGAAAAACTTTGTTTTTACGGGTTAATTTTTTAGATGCCTTTTTCTGCTCACGAGTTGTGCGTGGCGACATTTCACATCGTCCAGCGGCACGCGTCCGATTTCACAACCACGTTTTGCAGGGAAACTCCCAACACAACAAATGCCACGCGGTGCGCGAAACGCTCACGTGCGGAACAGGGAACACTTTGTCAAACTGGAATGATGGAGCGGTGAGAGATGGCACTGGTTTAGTTTTGGCATTTAGCCTTTCAAAATGAGCCACGTCGTTTATCCCGCAAAGCCTCTGAAGAGTCTTGTGGGCTCATTTTTTCAGTCTCCCACGAGGTTGAAAGCGTGAATGCATTGCGCGTAACCGCGGGGTCGCGATGCTTCTCGAAGATGATCACAGTGACATTTTTGGTATAAATTTGTGTCGCTACGAGGGGACTTGCCTCATGGAAAAATCGCCGATAAAAAAAAAGAGCCTTTTCGGCCAAGGCAAATAACATCGTCTGTGACGACATTAAAATAGGATGCGATGTCACGGTGCCGGGAGTAACGTCACTACTAAATTAAACGCGAGAACAAACGCGGGTTGGAAAGACGGTGCACAACCTCCGTTTAGGAAATGTTTTCCACGTGGAAGCAAACCGCGTACGAGCACGCGTTCACGACTCCACTTGCTGCTGCTGCTGCTACCGCCTCTTCTTGGTCGCAGCCCCTGCACGTTTGCGGACCTCCGAAAATCTTCCTGCGAGCCGCCAACCCCTTGCTTCCACGGCGATGGGTCGCAGGCGTGCGGCCACGCACCTCGGAGGTTCACACCGAGGGACAAGGTTTTTTCGCCGCCTCTCAACTTTTTTCGAACGAGTCTTATCGCCGTTGCTGCTGCTGCTGCTGGGACCGTTCGCGTTACATTCCGATGCTCGGAGGCAGCCCCTTCTTCAGAAGAGTCATGAGATAGCTTCCCAAGTCTTCATCCTGCACACACGGATCGCAACGAAGACAAAGACCCCCCACAGAGTCTTAGACTGTTGGAGCTCTTGCTGTTAGCGAGCACCTATGTTGGCGAGCCGGCAAGGCACACAAGGGGGGGTGTGGGTGGGCAGCACCACGTCTGGCCGTCTTTGTCTCCCCAGCGGCGATGTTTACACACCGCACCAGGTTGACCTAGGGGAGGCCCAGGCTCAGGCCCAGTTCAGATAATCGTCACTGGTGTCTGTGGCCGTGAGCGGGAATCAAATTTGGGTCGCCGGGTTTGTAGCGCAGAGCGCGTGGTTGTGGTGCACAACCACAACAACTCGACAACATCCACCATTTGACAAAAGGAAATCCGATTGACTTAAGTTTCAGGCAACAATCCTTCATCATGGCCTACAATATCATGACCCACACGCACTCGCTCGGACGCACCGATGAATGCGCGTGACTCTGGCGGGCGGGCGGGCATGCACTGCGGCACGTGGGTGCATGGGTGCGTGGGTGGGTGGGTGCGTGGGTGGGTGGGTGCGTGGGTGGGTGCGTGGGTGGGTGCATGGGTGGGTGCGTGGGTAGGTGCGTGGGTGGATGCGTGGGTAGGTGGGTGCGTGGGTAGGTGGGTGCGTGGGTAGGTGGGTGCGTGGGTGCGTGGGTGGGTGCGTGGGTGGGTGGGTGCGCGGGTGGGTTCGTGGGTCGGTGCGTGCGGCGCACCTGATAGGACCAGGACACGAGCGTGCTGCGAGCCCCCGCCTCGTCCTGCACGCCGCTGCTCTTGATGAGGACCGACTCGACCATGACAGAGCCGTCCGCCAGCTGCTGCACCGCGTGCTCCTTCAGGACGCTGCGTCGGCACGGCAACGAGGGGCGGGGGAGGTAGAGTGGAGGTTTGAGACAAAGATCCCCCGTGTAGCCTTAACAGACTGTTGGGGCAAGTGCTGCTAGCGAGCACCTATGAAGGCCGGCACGGCGCACGAGGGGGTGGGTGGCCAGCACCACGCCCGGCCGCCTTTGTCTCCCCAGTGGCGATGTTTACACACCGAGTCGACGGAGGTGCGGCCCAAGACCAGTTCAGATAATCGTGAGCGGGAATCGAACTCGAATTGGCACATTCGTAGCGAGGCGCGCTAACCACTGCGCCACGCACGAGGCACACCCACAATGCACAGGGGTCACGGGATCACAAACTGCAGCGGCATCGCCAGCCCAACCCCCCCGAATGCCGATACAAAAAACATTTGGCAGGACCCTCCTGAAAGCGAGTCTTGAGACTCTCTGAAAATCTTTCCTGGCCGTGGTGGTGGTGGGGGTTGTTGGACGGCCGGTGGCTCGCTGGCCTCACCCCTTGAGGTGTCCGTAGAGACGCTGCATGGTGTCCGCCTCGCTGGCGCCGCCCGCGTCGTGCAGCAGCGGCGGCAGCGTGGAGGTGAAGCGCAGCACGTGCTCGCTCAGCCCCAGCTCCCGCATCGCCTGCTCGGGCGCCAGCAGTCGCAGCGTCTGCGGAGACCACCACCACGACGACGACGACAAACACAAAGATTTCCCTTCCCCCCACCACCACCACCACCACCTCCATCTCTGTGTAGCCCACACAGACTGCTGGGGCAAGGGTGTCGCCGTGGCAAGATGTTGACTCCCTCGCCTGGTACAACAGGAGGTCGTGGGTTTGATCCCGACCTTGATGCCTGCTGTTGTATATTTGGAGTTTGCGTGTCTCTCTCTCTCATCATCATCACGGTGGCTAGGAGATGTTAACTACCTCGCCTGGTGCACAGGAGGTCGTGGGTTTGATCCCGACCCTGATGCCTGCTGTTTGTGGTGTCTCTCTCTCCCCGTGGAGATGTTAACTACCCCGCCTGGTATACAGAAGGTCGTGAGTTCGATCCCGACCCCGAAGCCTGTTGCTGTATGTTTGGAGTCTGCGTGTCTCTCTCTCTCTCTCATAATCATCACGGTGGCTAGGAGATGTTAACTACCTCGCCTGGTATACAGGAGGTCGTGGGTTCGATCCCGACCCCGACGCCTGCTGCTGTATGTTTGGAGTTTGTGTGTCTCTCTCTCCCTGTGGTCGCGTGGATTTTTTTCCGGGTTCAATCCGGTTCTTCCCTCCACATTAAGAATCAACATCGCGCGTTTAGAGTATTCGGCTGCTGTAAATTTCCACGCCATGAGCTACTTTGTTGAGCTATCATTTGTTGCCAGGTCGCTTCTTAAAAAGAGCTATAAAGCTGAGTGGGCCTTCCCTGGTAGCATAAAAATAGTTGTTAAGTTAATATGTTCGTGTGTTGAACTTCTTTCGCACCGTACGTAGTCAACTGTTCTAATCGGACGTGCGGGGGGAATAACAGCAAACTAAGCGCAAAAAACAGTTCTAAAGAAATTAGTTGTCAATCTCGATGATTTAAAAAGTGCTCAGCTCACAGTAGCTTCCTAATAATCATAAGAGCCTTCTAGGCGGGCCACAAAACCGCGTCTGAAAGCGCGCGATGTGGTGACCGTCTTTGGTTTCGATGGTTAGCCAAAAGCCGCTGCTGCGAGCATGACTCGAGGTACGTGGGTGTGGTAGCTCACACAGACCGCTGGGGCAAGTGCTGTTAGCGAGCACCTATTAAGGTTTTAAGATTCCCCATATAGCCTTAACAAACTGTTGGGGAAAGTGCTGTTAGCGAGCAGCACCTATGAAGGCCGGCACGGCGCACGAGGGAGTGGGTGACCAGCACCACGCGCGACTGCCTTTGTCTCCCCCAGTGGCGATGTTTACACACCGCACCAGGTACTCATTTGATGCCGAGTAGACCGAGGGGAGACCCAGGAACGGTTCAGATATTCGTCACTCGTGATGGCCGTGAGCGGGAATCGGACATGGGTTGCGGGGTTTGTAGCGCAGCGTAGCGCTAACCGCTGCACCAACGCTTCCCACGGCGGTGCGTGTGTGGTGGGTGTGTGTGTGTGGTGTGTGTGGTGGCTGTGTGTGGGTGCGTGTGTGTGGTGGTCGTGCGTGTGTGTGTGTGTGGGTGTGTGTGTGTGCAGTGGGGAGCGGTAGTGTAGCGGTTAGCGCGCTGCGCTATGAACCTGGCGACCCGGGTTCGATTCCCGCTCACGGCTAACACCAGTGACGATTATCTGAACCGGTCCTGGGCCTCCCCTAGGTCGACTCAGCCTTAAATGAGTACCTGGTGCGGTGTGTAAACATCGCCACTAGGGAGACAAAGGCGGTCGGGCGTGGTGCTGGCCACCCACCCCCTCGTGTACCGTTCCGGCCTTCATAGGTGCTCGCTAACAGCACTTGCCCCTACAGTCTGTTCAGGCTATACGGGGGGTCTTTGTGTGTGTGTGTGTGGTGGCTGTGTGCGTGTGTGTGCGGTGTGTGTGGTGGCTGTGTGTGTGGGTGCGTGTGTGTGGTGGTCGTGCGTGTGTGTGTGTGGTGGCTGTGTGTGTGTGTGTGGTGGCTGTGTGTGTGTGTGTGTGGCTGTGTGTGTATGTGGTGGCTGTGCGTGTGTGTGCGTGTGGTGGCTGTGTGTGTGGGTGCGTGTGTGTGTGTGTGGGTGCGTGTGTGTGGTGGTCGTGCGTGTGTGTGTGTGTGTGGCTGTGTGTGCGTGTGTGTGTGGCTGTGTGTGTGTGGTGGCTGTGTGTGTGCGTGTGTGCGTGTGTGTGGTGGTCGTGCGTGTGTGTGGTGGTCGTGCATGTGTGTGTGTGTGGGTGCGTGTGTGTGTGTGGTGGCTGTGTGTGTGTGGTGGCTGTGTGTGTGGTGGCGGTGGGTGTGTGTGCGTGTGTGTGTGGCTGTGTGTGTGTGGCTGTGTGTGTGTGGCTGTGTGTGTGCGTGTGTGCGTGTGTGTGGTGGTCGTGCGTGTGTGTGGTGGTCGTGCATGTGTGTGTGTGTGGGTGCGTGTGTGTGTGTGGTGGCTGTGTGTGTGTGGTGGCTGTGTGTGTGGTGGCCGTGTGTGTGTGTGCGTGTGTGTGTGGCTGTGTGTGTGTGGCTGTGTGTGTGTGGCTGTGTGTGTGCGTGTGTGCGTGTGTGTGGTGGTCGTGCGTGTGTGTGGTGGTCGTGCATGTGTGTGTGTGTGGGTGCGTGTGTGTGTGTGTGGTGGCTGTGTGTGTGTGGTGGCTGTGTGTGTGGTGGCCGTGTGTGTGTGTGCGTGTGTGTGTGTCTGTGTGTGTGTGGCTGTGTGTGTGTGTGCATGTGTGTGACGCTGGGTGTGGGGCTCACGCCGTCCTTCATGACGAGGGCACCGTGCATCGTGCGCGGCCTCTTGGGGTCCGGCGGTGTCCCTGATGCACCCATGCACACAAAGACAAAGATCCCCCGTATAGCCTTAACAGACTGATGGGGCAAGTGTTGTCTCCCCAATGACGATGTGTACGCACAGCACCAGGTACTCATTTGAGTCTGAGTCGACCTAGGGGAGGCCCAGGACCGGTTCAGATAATCGTCACCGGTGTTGGCCGTGAGCGGAAATCGAACTTGGGCCGCCGGGTTCGTAGCGCAGTGCGCTAACCGCCACACTACCGCTCCCCACACACACGCACCCACACACACACGCAACCACACACAGACACGCACACACAACAACAACAACCGCGATTCGCCACTAAGTGGCGGTGACGTCACCACGACGCTTGTGCCAGGCCAAGTGCACCTTGAGGCCACGTGAAGTGTCGAACGCCCGCTGGCAGGAGGTCACGGGGCAGACCCAGCAGGTGCCACGGGTCGACTGACCGAGATGACTGACTGATGCACCACCTGTGCCCCCTACTGTACCAACTCGCTGTGCTTTAGCCACCCGGCGCTCCGCTCGTTGTTGTGAGCGTCGCTCCTCCGCCCTCCGTTGTTGTTGGAGGGCGACTGCCTCCAACTGCCCAGTAGCGTCCTTCACGAGCCTCCTCCACAGAGGCCGAACTTGACACCGCTGATACCAGTAATCGGCAAGTCCACTCAGCTCCACGTCCTCCTGTACCACATCACTCCATCTCTTCTCTAGCCCGTGCCGCGCCCGTTTAGCCCCCTCGATCCGGCCGAACAAAAGCTGTTTAGGCATGCGGTAGCTGGGCATGTGGGCTACATGACCCAGCCAACGCAGCCTTGCCTGCCGGAGGAGCTCACCGATGGGACTTTGCCCAGATCTTTCAAGGATTTGTGAGCTCCTCACACAATCCAGCCTGGTTAAACCCAGGATGGATCGTAGGCAGGCCAGCCTAAATGTTTCCAACCGACGACTGACACAACCGCACACACACGCACACACACACACACACACGCACCCACACACACACGGCACCCACACACACACGGCACCCACACACACACGGCACCCACACACACACGGCACCCACACACACACGCACACACACTGACACAACCACACACACACGCACACACACACACACGCACCCACACACACACGGCACCCACACACACACGCCACAAGGCGATGGACCCACACATAGAACCCACAGACTCACACAGGGGGTAATGTTCACGAGAGGGATAGAGCCGGAGCTGAAGTTATGGGAAGGTTGTCAGGGTTAATGGGTCGCGAGTTAGGGGCTACGGATTACAGTTACGGGTTAGCACGAGAGTTTGGGTGTCGCGTCAGGGGCTACACAAGTGATGAAGGATTAGGCGACTGGGGCCTGGGTTGGGGTTAGTATTGGAATCACTGCTAAGGTTAAGTCTTGTGCTAGGGATTGGTTGCAGTTAGGGCCACAGAACCAGCAATGGATTAGGTATTTACGCTCGTGCGAGCGATGGGTTGGGGTTAGTGCTAGTGCTATGGGTAGCGATAGGGTTAAGCTTAGTGTTCCGAGTCGATGAAGGATAGCAATGGGGTACGGGGGCCGTGGTTAGTGCCGGGGTTCTGAATCGGTGAAGGTCACCGATGGGGCGCGGGGGCCGTGGTTCGTGCCGGGGTTCTGAATCGGTGAAGGGGCTCCCCCTCTGTGGTTACCGAGCGAGGCGTCGCGCTTGAGCAGGCCGAGCGAGATGTCGACGGGGATGCTGGGCGCCGTGGGCAGGGAGCACGTCTCCCCGTTGGCCGGCATGAAGCACGAGATCCCTACGCACGCACGCGTACGTACATACAGGTGCTAGCATCATGACCAACTCGGGCGTTGAAGTCACCCAACAAGATGACTCTATCCCGAGGAGCTACTTTAGCCAGCACCTGTAACAGAAGATCATAAAAATTAACCCGTAAAAACAAAGTTTTTCACTATAAATCTTTTATATGCGTGGCATCGGTTTTATTTTATTATTCATTTCTGTTTTCTTGAGTAAGAGTTTCATTTTTATCACATTGGTATTTTAAATTAAATATGAAAAAAAATTTTCCCAAAAAGTGGAAAATTTTGGAAAACATTTTTCACGAAAATAAATTGTCACGCACGACGAGTCTGTGTGCAAAATGTCAGCTCGATTGGATCACGGGAAGTGGGTTAAAAAACGACCGAAAGATTTGCACGGTCGTAAGCGCGCAAAGCAAGCAAGCAAGTGAACTTAATATAAAGGATTTAAAAAGGCATCGGACTCATCTGCTTTGCCTGCATCCCTCCACGTATGTTCGTCTTTGGTGGGGGCATAAGTAACCACGACCACCACTCCTCACCTTTGGTTGATGGGAAGGCGAGCCCAAAGTAGCCTGGGGCTTACAGCTTCCCACACCTCACCGCCACGCTCCCACGCCCCCTTCATTATTTTGTTCAGAAGAAGAGCCACACCCTGTTGTTTGGCAGTCTCCTGCCCCGAGTAGTGGACTGTCCACCCCTCAAGGTGGCAGGAGCCAGAGCCGGTCCACCGGATCTCCTGAATACCAGAGATCCAGGCAGTACCGGTCCAGCTCCCGACAGAGGAGTGGCAGCCTTTTCTCCGCAGTGAGCGTTCGAACATTCCACGTGGCCATCTGTAGTGGCTTTTGTTGTTTCTAGAGGAGCCCCGAGGGTAAGGATTCAGTCTCCTGCGGCTTGGCCAGGAGAGGTCATAGATGCCTGTCCCCCCGGGGCCTCCGGCACAAGGTTAATACATTTTTTTGTGGTAATTCATTGAAGGTGGAGGGGTTACCAGCCGCTTGTACCCGTCCAGAGCCCCCATTTGGCCGCTGTGGTGGTTACAAACGCCATGAAGGGAAAGGCCCTCCTCCCACGGCACTGCCCACAACGTTGCCGTCCGGCACCACGAGGTAGGGGGTTGTTTTTGCGTACACACACGTGTACACACACAACAACAACAACCGCCATTCGCCACGTCACCACGACGCTTGTGCCAGGCCATGTGCAAAAAAAATGTGCACACACACACGCGTACACACACACACGCATACACATACACACGTACACGGACGTGTACGCAAACACTCATATGTACACATGCGCCTATGAAGGCGGACACAGGACACAAGGGGGTGGGTGGTCAGCACCACGCCCGGCCGCCTTTGTCTCCCTAGTGGGGATGTTTAACGCACCGCACCAGGTACTCATTTGAGGCTGAGTCGACCTAGGGGAGGCCCATGACCCATTAAGATAATATAATCGGTCACTGGTGTTGACCGCGAGCGGGAATGGAACTCGGGGCCGCTGGGTTTATAGCGCTGCGCCCTAACCGCTGCACCACCGCTCCCCACTATTCCAAAGACGAAGCCACACACACACACGAGCGTGCGTGCGTGCGCGCACCAAACTCCATCTCGATCTTCTGCTTGAGGAACTCCATCTTCTTGGCCTCCCCGTGCACCAGCAGAACGTTGCGTGGCTCCGCCATGCGCACCAGCTGCATGATGCCCTTGGCGTCGGCGTGCGCGCTGAACGACATGTACTCCACCTGCAGCTTGATCTCCAGCTGCTCACGCACACACGCACGGAGACACACGCACACACACAGCACATTCACGCGGGCACACAACACACAGCAGCAGGACACACGCGCACGCACACACACGCGGACACACGCACGGAGACACACGCACACACACAGCACACTCACGCGGGCACACAACACACAGCAGAAGGACACGCGCACGCACACACACGCGGACACACACACGCGCACATGCACGCACACACACACAGTACACTCACGCGGGCACACAACACACAGCAGAAGGACACGCGCACGCGCATGCACACGCACAGCACACACACAGCACACTCACGCGGACACACAACAGCAGGACACGCACACAACACACACACGGACACACGCACGCACACATGCACGCACAGCACACACAGCACACTCACACACAGCACACTCACACACATCACACTCACGCGGACACACAACACACAGCAGAAGGACACGCGCACGCACACACATGCGGACACACGCACATGCACGCACAGCACACGGAAGCGTACACACACGGACACACAGACACACTCACGCACACACAGTACATGAAAGCGGACACACGCAAGCATGAATGCACATACAGCACACACACGCACAGACACACAGCACAAGAACGCACGCACACAAAGCACACGCACGCGGACACAGACACAGCACACATGCAAATAGCACACACACACAGGACACGCACAGCACACTCACACATGGACACACAGACGCAAAGCACACAGACAAACACAAGTACACACAGCACATACGCATAGTCACATTTACACATTGTAGCGTTTGACAGACTGACTTTCAACAGACTGCCATTAGCGAGTAGCACCGATGAAGGCCGGCACGGCACACGAGGGGGTGGGTGGCCAGCACCACGGCCGGCCGCCTTTGTTTCCAGGTACTCATTTGAGGCCGAGTCGACCGAGGGGAGGCCCAGGACCGGTTCTGATAATCGTCACTGGTGTTGGCCATGGGCGGGAATCAAACTCAGGCCGCTGCGCTAACCGCTGCGCCACCGCTCCCCTTGACGCAGCCACGTGCCTTCATCCTCGGGCAGAGCGGTGGCAAAGTGGTTAGCTCACTGCACCGCAAACCCGACGGCCCGGCTCCCATTCCCAGCCACGGCTAACATCGGCGGCGAGCGGTAACAGAACCGGTCCTGATGTCCCCTCGCCCCGTCAACAACACGCACCGACCAGCGTGGTGAAGTACGGTCAGGGCAAAGATCTCAGACCTTCATACGGGGAGATCTTTGTCTTGTTCATACTTTGGTCGAACAACCCCCGTGAGAGTCGCGGTATGGGGGAGGCCTGCATCCGGTTTACGGTGACTCGGGATGGCCGTCAGCGCTCACCGTCTGTCGGCCCTCGATCTCCAGCTTGCGCTGCCCGCTCAGGATCTTGTGGCCGATGGTTCCTTGCACGCAGTAGCCCGGCATGATCACCTGGGCGAGACGGGGGTGGCGATGGCACGGGGTCACGGGGTCACGAGCACACGCGAAGCGTACGCGGTAGTGTCGGTGGTGGTAACGGTGGTGGTGGTGACGACGATGACGAAGCTAAGTGGGTGGTGGTGATAACGATGGCAATGAGGATGGTGTGGCGGTGGTAATGATGATGACGGTGGTGATAGTGCTGTTGGTGATGATAATGATGGTGGTTGGTGGTAGTGTAGCGGTTGGCGCACTGCGCTACAAACCTGGCGACCCGAGTTCGATTCCCGCTCACGACCAACACCAGTGACAATTATTTGAACCGGTCCTGGGCCTCCCCGAGGTCGACTCAGCCTCAAATGAGTACCTGGTGCGATGTGTAAACATCACCACTGGGAAGACAAAGGCGGCCGGGCGTGGTGCTGGCCATCCACCCCCCTCGTGTGCCGTGCCGGCCTTCATAGGTGCTCGCTAACAGCCACTTGCCCCAGTTCAGGCTATACGGGGATCTTTTTCTTGGTGGTGGTGAAAGAGATAATGGTATTAGCGACAATGATGGTGACGAGGATGGTGGTAGTTGATGACTGTGGCGGTGATCATGGTGACTGTGGTGGTGACGATTAAGGTTGGTAGCAATGAAAATTATCCTTGCCTTCCTTGTACCGAAAGTTACATTTTTACGTGCAATGTAATTGAGGGACTGTGTTGTTGTTGTTGTCTTAGTGTGGTGTGAGACTGTTGTTGTTTTGCTGCCTTACCCAAGCTTGCATTTAGTGTTGAAAAATCGGCAGGAATCGATGTACTTCTATAGATACTTTATGTATTTTTATTTACTTCTTTAGCGTTCCTATACTTTCCACTCCTGTCGTGTCTTTGTACTGTTTGTTCTTGTGACTTTCTGAGCCGCCCCTACTGGACACCTGTGAAAAAGATCTGTGTAGCTCATCGGATTCCTCCAGGATCAATCAAGATTCTGGTCCTGCTGGGTGACGATGACGGTGGCTGGTGGTGCCGATGAATAAGACGGTGGTGGTGATGGTGGTGGTGACGGTGGTGGTGACGGTGGTGGTGACGGTGGTGGTGACGGTGGTGGTGATAGTGGTGGTGACAACGACGACGAAGCCAACGATGACAGTGACGCGGACGATTTTGGCGACGATAATGACGATGATGACGATGATGACGATGATGACGATGATGACCGTATCGTAAGTGACGACAGCCGTGATGCCGACACTAAGTACGGCGACGACGATGATGACGACGATGATGACGACGATGACGATGTAGATGACGATGACGACGATGATGACGATGACGACCATAATGACGACGATGACGACGGCGGCTGCGGTCTGCCCCTCCTCCTGCTCCAGCACCTCTCCGCCACCCCCTCACCATGTTCTTCTCGCTGCCCGCCCACTTCTTGAAGATGTGCAGCGACTGGCCCGCGTGCAGCATGCCGGGTGTCGCGAACACAACCTGCGACACGGGGTGGGGGGGGGGGGGAGGTGGTGGGGGGAGGTGGAGGGTGGACATCGGTGGATAGGCACGGCGACCAATCGCCGATCGCTACAGACAGCCGTGATCGATTCACTGCTGGGTGAAGACCTCCCCCTGAACCGCTGCCATCTCTCCCGAGCGCGGATTCAAACTGCGTACCTGTCACAACCAATACGGTTTACCCCGTATTCTTGTACAGGGGAGTTTAGTTTCCAGGTCCATACGGCGAACAGCCGTTTCAATACGGGCAACAACAACAACAATTATTGTCTATTTGTTTGTGTTTCTCTCCTTGTGATGGGACTTTGTAGGATAAACGTTGAGATGTATAAGGGCACGGGGCGACCAATAAGGTCTGAATTGGTCTGTGAGAAGGTAGGGCACTGATAAGGGGTTGACAGGAACTGAGCCGGAGAGATCCCATGTGGAAAAAACCCGCAGCGCGCCGAAGAACCGCTAAAACTAAATTAAACTATTTTTATTTTACTCGGTAAGGCCCACCGAGCTATGTAAATATTTTTCAGAAGCGACATGGCAATCACAAATGTTAGCTCAACGAAGTGGCTTCTCATCATCACGTGGACATTTATAGCAGCAGCCAAATACTCTAAAAACGCGTGATGCTGATTCTAAACGTGGAGGGAAAAAACCAGAGGACCCAGAGAGAAATCCACGCGACCACGGGGAGAGACACGCAAACTCCAAATATACAGCAGCAGGAGTGAGGGTCGGGATCGAACCCACAACTGCCTGCGTACCAGGCGAGGTAGTCAACATCTCCACGGAGAGAGAGAGAGACATGCAAACTCCAAATATACAGCAGCAGGCGTCAGGGTCGGGATCGAACCCACGACTGCCTGCGTACCAGGCGAGGTAGTCAACATCTCCGCGGGGAGAGAGAGACATGCAAACTCCAAATATACAGCAGCAGGCGTCAGGGTCGGGATCGAACCCACGACTGCCTGCATACCAGGCGAGGTAGTCAACATCTCCGCGGGGAGAGAGACACGCAAACTCCAAATATACAGCAGCAGGCGTCAGGGTCGGGATCGAACCCACGACCTCCTGTATACCAAGCGAGGTAGTCAACATCTCCGCGGGGAGAGAGAGAGACATGCAAACTCCAAATATACAGCAGCAGGCATCAGGGTCGGGATCGAACCCACAACTGCCTGCATACCAGGCGAGGTAGTCAACATCTACGCGGGGAGAGAGAGAGAGAGACATGCAAACTCCAAATATACAGCAGCAGGCATCAGGGTCGGGATCGAACCCACGACTGCCTGCATACCAGGCCAGGTAGTCAACATCTCCGCGGGGAGAGAGAGAGAGACATGCAAACTCCAAATATACAGCAGCAGGCGTCAGGGTCGGGATCGAACCCACGACCTCCTGCGTACCAGGCGAGGTAGTCAACATCTCCGCGGGGAGAGAGAGAGACACGCAAACTCCAAGTATACAGTAGCAGGCGTCAGGGTGTGGATCGAACCAACGTCCGCCAGCATACCAGGCGAGGTTGTTAACATCTCATAGCCACCGCAGCACCCTCAACCACTTCCTGGCGGTCCCCCACCTCCGCCCTTCGCCCCTCACCATGGGGCCTGGGTTGTCGGCGTAGGAGCGGTCGAAGGCCTTGATGTGCTTGAACTCGAACATGTTGCGCTGCACAAAGGTCTTGCGGATCTTCTGGTTGGTCCAGGTGATGAAGAGCTTGTAGTAGTGGTTTGCCTTCTCCGTGAGGCCCGTCGAGAAGTAGATGGGCGCCTTGAGGTTCATGCGCTCCCTGCGCCCGTGCGGTTGGGGGATGGGGGAGGTCAGAGCCATTCACGGATGACTCGCGCAGAGACCCAAAGAGTCACACGGAGAGACCCATAGATTTACACAGAGAACTAAATAGACTCCTCACATAGAGACCCATAGATTCACATAGAGACCCACAGATTCACACAGAGACCCACAGATTCACATAGAAACCACAGATTTACAGAGACCCATTGATTCACAGACACCCACAGACTCCATGTAGAGACTCAGAGACTTACACATAGACCTTACATAGCCAACCGTGCTAGAAATAACAATTGTTATTATTAACAATAAGAATTCTGATTATAACCACTAAGCTTCTTTACCCAGCAAACCCTCAAGACTCACTTTCAGGAGGGTCTTGTCAATTGTTCGCGCTAGATGACGACGCTGCCGCTGCGTGTGTGTGTGCGATCCCAATTGAGTAATTTTCAGCTAATCCTATAAAACATTGGGATGCTTAACCAAAATCAGCTACGTCGCACATTTGTTTTAGATAATGACGATAAGATGTTAATTATGAATTGCATTGCCGTTGCGCTGTTCCACGGCGCGTGACACTAATCCGATACGCCGTCCGACAGCCCAAATATAAACATCATTCGCGCATTGAATATTAATAACTCGTCACCCTACAGGCAGTCCCCCCCCGGGTTTACGGAAGGGTTAGGTTCCCGAGAAATATCCGTAACCCGAGTTTTTCGTGTGTCGGAAACTGAACAATTTCCCCCCAAAATCAACGACAAAATCCCGTATCGGGGAATAGCTTGTGCCTCTCCTGTCGTTTTCTCTCGGTGCCGCATCGCGCCGTCGTCCGTTTTCCATCGCTACCCGCATCGTATCGCCGTACGTACGCTCCCCATTTATACCGCAACACTACCCATAATTCAACTAAGGGAACATAGACTGTACCGTGTCCAATCGTTAATGAATACCACGAAGCGTAGGACACAAGCAATGACGTAATGCTACGAAAGGAAACGAGACGGTGTGGCGGGGTAGAGTCGACTCAGGGTAACAATGTAACGACGCGACTCATTGGGGAACGTGCGGAGGCAACCGCCTTACGCCTCGCTCCGCTGTATTCATCCGCAGCCTCACCGCGCCGCACTACTTGCGCTCACGGAACCAACGCTAACATTTTTTTCTACACGATCTATGGGAACATTTCCGTAAAGTCGGATTTCCGTAAGCCGGGTCTTCCTAAACCCGGAGACTACCTGTATTCTATTATATCTTGGATATGTAAAGCGCCTTTAACCGAAGCGCTCACTCAACCATTTGACGTATGTTCCTCCTCTTCATAAGCCCTACAACATTAAGCCCGCAGAGTTTCACAGTGCGCTCAAATATTCATCCAAAAGCAATGCGTTTTCGTTTTACCACACTACCTCCAATCATAAGCCTTGAAGCGTGTGGAGCATCCTGTGTATTGGTGCAATGTGCTGTGTGTTGGTGTTACGGTGCGATGCGCTGTGTGTTAGGATGATGTTACCTTGTATTGGTGCAATGGTGATTGTGTGATGTTGTGATTGTGTCATGTTGTCATTGAATGATGTTGCGATGGTGTGATTGTGTGATGGTGTGATTATGTCATGTTGTGATTGCGTGATGTTGCGATGGTGTGATTGTGTCATGTTGTGATTGCGTGATGTTGCGATGGTGTGATTGTGTGATGGTGTGATTGTGTCATGTTGTCATTGCATGATGTTGCGATGGTGTGACACGGTTCGAACAGAGCCTCTCACCAGAACGTCTCCAGCAGGATGCACAGCTCCTGAGCTCTGCCGAGAGCAAACACCGGAATCAGCACCTACCCCGCCACACACGGAGGGCACACACGGAGGGCACACACGGAGGGCACACACGGAGGGCACACACGGAGGGCACACACACGGAGGGCACACACACGGAGGGCACACACACAGGGCACACACGGAGGGCACACACGGAGGACACACACGGAGGGCACACACATGGAGGGCACACACACGGAGGGCACACACACAGGGCACACACGGAGGGCACACACACGGAGGGCACACACGGAGGGCACACACACGGAGGGCACACACACGGAGGGCACACACACAGGGCACACACGGAGGGCACACACGGAGGACACACACGGAGGGCACACACGGAGGACACACACGGAGGGCACACACGGAGGGCACACACGGAGGGCACACACGGAGGGCACACACGCAGGGCACACACGGAGGGCACACACGGAGGGCACACACGGAGGACACACACGGAGGGCACACACGGAGGGCACACACGCAGGGCACACACGGAGGGCACACACGGAGGGCACACACGGAGGACACACACGGAGGACACACACGGAGGGCACACACGGAGGGCACACACGGAGGACACACACGGAGGACACACACGCAGGACACACACGGAGGGCACACACGGAGGGCACACACGGAGGGCACACACGGAGGGCACACACGGAGGGCACACACGGAGGGCACACACGGAGGGCACACACGCAGGGCACACACGGAGGGCACACACGGAGGGCACACACGGAGGGCACACACGGAGGGCACACACGGAGGGCACACACGCAGGGCACACACGGAGGGCACACACGGAGGGCACACACGGAGGGCACACACGGAGGGCACACACGGAGGGCACACACAGAGGGCACACACAGCAAACTGCTAAGGAGCGCCGCCCGAGCCAATCACCGAGTGGTCACAACTACGCCGAGCAAGCGTGGCAGAGTGTGTGCGTGTCTGTGCGTGTCTGTGCGTGTCTGTGCGTGTCTGTGCGTGTCTGTGCGTGTCTGTGCGTGTCTGTGCGTGTCTGTGCGGGTCTGTGCGTGTCTGTGCGTGTCTGTGCGTGTCTGTGCGTGGGGTGGTTAAGCGCTGCGCAACGAACCCGGCGGCCCCCGAGTTCGATTCCCGCTCACGGCCGACACCGGTGACGATTATCTGAACCGGTCCTGAGCCTCCCTTAGGTTGACTCAGCCTCAAATGAGTACCTGGTGCGGTGTGTAAACACCGTGACTTGGGAGACAAAGGCAGCTGGGCACGGTGTTGGCCACCTACCCCCTCGTGTACCATGCCGGCCTTCATGGGTGCTCACTAACAGCACTTGCCCCAACAGTCTGTTAAGGCTACACGGGGGATTTTTGTCTTTGTGTGCGTGTGTGTGTGTGTGCGTGTGTGTGTGTGCGTGTGTGTGTGTGCGTGTGTGTGTGTGCATGCGTGTGTGTGCAATAAATAGCGGTGACGTGGCCCTGCGGTAGCACGTTCCCCCCTCGTGTTCCACAGTGTTAAAGATCGAACTGCCTGCCCCCATCTCTACCCCCTGCCCCCTGTCTCTACCCCCTGCCCCCATCTCTACCCCCTGCCCCCATCTCTACCCCCTGCCCCCATCTCTACCCCCTGCCCCCATCTCTACCCCCTGCCCCCTATCTCTACCCCCTGCCCCCATCTCTACCCCCTGCCCCTCACTCCCTCCCCCGTTGCCCCTGCCTGTGGCACAGACCTTGCCGCCCTTCTCCACGGTGTCGTGCACTTTCTTGAGGAAGTCTCTCTCGCGGCAGCGCTTGGAGTCGCGGATGGTGGTGGCGTACGTCGACTCACTGATGAGCAGGTCCGGGCGGCAGCGGTCGATCCACGCCGCGCTGCACACGCACGTACAGACACACACGTACAGACACGCACGTACAGACACGCACGTACAGACACGCACGTACAGACACGCACGTACAGACACGCACGTACGCACACGCACGTACAGACACGCACGTACAGACACGCACGTACAGACACGCACGTACAGACACGCACGTACAGACACGCACGTACAGACACGCACGTACAGACACGCACGTACGCACACGCACGTACAGACACGCACGTACAGACACGCACGTACAGACACGCACGTACAGACACGCACGTACGCACACGCACGTACAGACACGCACGTACAGACACGCACGTACGCACACGCACGTACAGACACGCACGTACAGATACGCACGTACAGACACGCACGTACAGACACGCACGCGCACGCACAGACACGCACGCACACGCACGTACAGACACGCACGTACAGACACGCACGTACAGACACGCACGTACAGACACGCACGTACGCACACGCACGTACAGACACGCACGTACAGACACGCACGTACAGACACGCACGTACAGACACGCACGTACAGACACGCACGTACAGACACGCACGTACAGACACGCACGTACGCACACGCACGTACAGACACGCACGTACAGACACGCACGTACAGACACGCACGTACAGACACGCACGTACGCACACGCACGTACAGACACGCACGTACAGACACGCACGTACGCACACGCACGTACAGACACGCACGTACAGATACGCACGTACAGACACGCACGTACAGACACGCACGCGCACGCACAGACACGCACGCACACGCACGTACAGACACGCACGTACAGACACGCACGTACAGACACGCACGTACAGACACGCACGTACAGACACGCACGTACAGACACGCACGTACAGACACGCACGCGCACGCACAGACACGCACGCACAGACACGCACGTACAGACACGCACGTACAGACATGCACGCGCACGCACAGACGCGGAAGCCTACGTGTTAAACCGACGCACAGACGCACGCACACTCGGGTGTACAAGGCAAAGATCCCCCGTATAACCTTAACCAGACCGTTGGGGCAACCGCTTTCAGCGAGCAGCACACCCATGAAGCCTGGAAACGGTACGCGAAGCGACGGGTGGCCAACACCACGCCAAACTCCCTTTTGTCTCCCCAGTCGCGATGTTTTCTCACCGCACCAAGTAACACCCTCAAGGCCGAGTCGACGTAGGGGAGGCCCAGAACCGGTTCGGTTACTTCACCGCGGTGCTGCGTAGCTCCCCAGTGGCTTTCTAATATCAGAAAGGAAGAGCGTTCCAGACGGCCACGGAAGCAGCGCATCTGAACGCGCGTGACGCAGTCTTTGTTCGCACAGTGGGGGTCACAGGCGGTGCATCGGCCAGTCATTATTTTATTACTTCCCTTTTTACGTGACTTTACCGAAAGAACCAAGAAGATCATCTCGGCCAGTCAACCGCATGGCACCTGCTGAGTCGACGCTTCACGTGGCTTTAACGTGCACTTGGCCTGGCACGAACGCCGTGGTGACGTCACCGCCACTTAGTGGCGAATAGCGGTTGTTGTTGTCGTCGCCGGTGTTGGTGGCCGTGAGCGGGAATCGAACTCGGGTCGCCGGGGGTTCGTAGCGCAGCCGTGCCAATCGCTACACTGCACAAACCCTCCCTCTCCATTCAAGATCTTACGATTCCACGCCGCTACACATGGACTTCGATCGACTTAAGCTAATTTAACAAGAGTGTGCGCCGTCGTACCCGAGATGCCGGTCTGGAGTCATATTATAGTCTCCCTGCAAACACACACAAAACAAAAAGAAAGACAACGATCCCCCATATAGGGTTAACAATTTTTGAGTCAAGTGCTGTTAGCGAACACCTATGAAGGCCGGCACGGCACATGCGGGGGTGAGTGGCCAGCACCACGCCCGGCTGCCTTTGTCTCCCCAGTGACGATGTTTACACAACGCACCAGGTACTCGTTTGAGGCTGAGTCGACCTAGGAGAGGCCCAGGACCGGTTCAGATAATCGTCACTGGTGTTGGTAGCCGTGAGCAGGAATCGAACTCGGGTTTCCGGGTTCGTAGCGCAGCGTAGCGCTAACCGCTACATTACTGCTCCCCCCAAACACACACTCTCTTTGCAGGGGGTGTAGAAGGCTGCTTTAATAATGATATTACTGCCTTTTATTCAGCGAGGAAATCTAAGACACAGCTGAGACACAGCCAGCTCCAGGACTCAAACCCAGGAGCTTGGAACTGCTAAAGTAAACTAAACTTTATAAAATTTTTACCAGGTAAGGCCCACTGAGATGTAGAGCCTTTTTCAGAAGTGACTTAGTCACAAACGATAGCTCAACAAAGTGGCTTCTCATCGTGTTGAAATGTATAGCAGCCAAATACTCTAAACGCATCTTGATTCTAGACGTGGAGGGAAAAACGGGAGGACCCGGAGAAAAATCCACGTGACCACGGGGAGAACACGCAAACCCCAAATACTGTACACAGGTGTCAGGGTATGGATCAAATCCAAGATCTCCAGCATACCAGGCGAGGTATTTAACAGTGTCCCTGACATTGCCATTAGTAAATCGTGTCTGAGACTTTGAAACTAGATTTTCAATGACGTTGTGTCAGCGTCAATGGCATGGACATTAGGAATCTTCCTTAAGAGAAAAGACACCAAACCCCAGTTCTTGAACCAAGGTTTGCACGCGTTTACAGTATTTGGCTGCCATAAATTTCCACACGATGATACGCCCACTTCGTTGAGCTATCATTTGTGGCCAGGTCGCTTCTGAAAAGAGCTATAAAAATCTCAGTGGGGCCTTATCTGGTCAAATAATTTTTGTAAAAGTTAGTTTTTAATTTCCGACGCGGCCGTGACGACCTCACTCACCGTGTAGACGACCGACTCGGGCCCCACACGCATCTCAAACATGGCGGCTCCCAGGACGTGTCCAGCGTAGTACGCCTTGATCTCCAGCTCGTCATCCACCTAGCGAGGATATACACAGCACAATTCACTCACCACACACTCACCACACACTCACCACTCACTCGCCACACACTCACCACTCACTCACCACACACAGCATAGTACGCCTTGATCTCCAGCTCGTCATCCACCTAGCGAGGATATACACAGCACAATTCACTCACCACACACTCACCACACACTCACCACACACTCACCGCACACTCACCGCTCACTCACCACACACTCACTCACCACACACTCACCGCTCACTCACCACACACTCACCACACACTCACCACACACTCACCACACACTCACTACACTCACCACACACTCACTGCTCACTCACCACACACTCACCACACACTCACCACACACTCACCGCTCACTCACCACACACTCACCACACACACAGCGTAGCAGCCTTGATCTCCAGCTCGTCATCCACCTAGCGAGGATATACACAACACGATTCACTCACCACACACTCACCACACACTCAATCACCGCTCACTCACCACTCACTCGCCACACACTTATCACACACTCACCACACACTCACTCACCACTCACTCACCACACACAGCATAGTACGCCTTGATCTCCAGCTCGTTATCCACCTAGCGAGGATATACACAGCACAATTCACTCACCACACACTCACCGCTCACTCCCCACACACTCCCCACACACTCACCACACACTCACCGCTCACTCACCACACACACAGCGTAGTACGCCTTGATCTCCAGCTCGTCATCCACCTAGCGAGGATATACACAGCACAATTCACTCACCACACACCGCTCACTCACCACACACTCACCACACACTCACCGCTCACTCACCACACACTCACCGCTCACTCACCACACACTCACCACACACACAGCGTAGTACGCCTTGATCTCCAGCTCGTCATCCACCTAGCGAGGATATACACAGCACGATTCACTCACCACACACTCACCGCTCACTCACCACACACTCACCACACACTCACCACACACTCACCACACACTCACCACACACTCACCACACATACAGCGTAGCACGCCTTGATCTCCAGCTCGTCATTCACCTGGTGAGGCTATACAGCATGATTCACTCAGCTCTCACTCACCACACCCTCACTACACACACCCCGACACACTCACCTCTCACTCACCACACACTCACTCACCACTCACTCACTACACACACCCCGACACACTCACCTCTCACCAAACACTCACCATACACTCACATCCCAACACACACCGCGTAGTACGCCTTGATCTCCAGCTCACTGACGAACGGAAGGACGGACTGATGGACAAACGGACGGACGGACGAATGGACACGAATGGGCAGACAGACAAATAGACTAATTAATTAACGGGTTGATAGATAAAAGGACAGAAAAATGGATGGACAGATGGATGGACAGATGAATAGATGGACAGATGGATGGAAGGACAGATGAATGGATGGACAGATGGATGGAAGGATAGATGAATGGCTGGACAGATGGATGGAAGGACAGATGAATGGCTGGACAGATGGATGGACAGATGGATAGACAGATGAATGGATGGTAGGACAAATTAATGGATGGACAGATGGATGGATAGATGGAAGGACAGATGGATGGAAGGACAGATGGATGGAAGGACAGATGGATGGATGAACAGATGGATGAAAGGACAGATGGATGGATGAACAAACAGCGGCGTGCGTGTGTCCCTGCTCACCTGCACGCTCTGGTGAAGGTTGACGGCTACCACCTTCTTCATGCAGTCCTTGATCATCTGCGAGGTGAAGAAGTTGGTCTCGCCCTTCTTGTCCACCGTGATCTTGCGATAGTCCTCCAGCAGGATGGGGCAGATGGCCTTGGTCGGGTGGGTCATGTAGATGGGCCCGTCGTAGCCTACCATCTCCGACATGTACGGCAGGGCACCGCAGTGGTCCAGGTGGAAGTGGCTGGGTGCAGACGGTGGGGGCGCAAACTTGTCAGTACCGGCAGCATCCGCGACACAGCGGCAGTGTAAAAGCAGCAGTAGCAGCAGAAAAACAAGCGAATGAATGAGCAACATCAAAGTAAACAGCAGACGGCAGCAACATAAAGAGCAGCGGTAGCAGCGGCAGCAACATCATCGAAATCATCAAACACGTCAGTGGCAGCGGCGTCACGGACAGCAGCAATAGAAGCAACAACGAAAACGGCGGCGGTAGAAGCAGCAGCACAAGCAATTGCAGCAGCAGCAGCAACAACTCAAAAGCAGCGGCCGCAATAGCAGTGATACAACCATAACCAGGGCTACAACCATCGGAATCACCACCATCACAGGTACCGTTAGCATCAACCCACCTCCGATTTAGCCCGTGCCGCACCAATTAAAGGCCCTCATATCAGGCCAAACAGAAACTGCTTGGGCATGTGGTCGCTGGCCATGCGGGTAACATAATGTAATGAATGCAACTTTGCCACCACCACAACCGTGATCATTACCATCATAACCAATGCGATCATCACCACCACAATCGTCATCACCACCGCAACCACCGGACACCACTACCACCAGTAGCAGCAGCAGGACCTCCGGTTCGCCACGCTTTTACCGCAAACAGTGACGGCGAAAGTGTGATGGCCCAGGTCACGGGCACTACCTGATGATGACGCAGTCGAGGAAATCCGTAAGCCGCCCGTTCTGCGTGATGTAGGAGAAGTCGGGGAACCTTCGCTGCACGCGATCGACACGGAGGCACGGCAGACAAGACACGGGCAGGGGCAAGTTACTCACCGCGTCGCGCCGTTCACTCACGCCGTGCCGTGTCAATGACAAAGGTCCAGGGGGCATACGACGACTCCTCCATTTGTCACATGTGATTCGTGTGTCTTAAGACAATATTTATGATTTGTGGAAAATGAAAATTTGCATTTACGTGAACGTTTTTGTCAAGAGATGAGGATTTTTCATTCGCAACTTTGCAGTTCGTACATCACACTGTGTCAGAACGGCTCCTTGGAAGATGACATGACAGGAGTACATCTGAGGTTACTTCAGTAAGCCCCTTCATCCACACAGATTCCAAGAACACAGGATGAGATGTTACTATCCTTTGAGCAAGCACTTCCAAGAGTTCATGAACAGTGAGCCTGGTGAAATTTGGGGAGCACATCGTCAGTAGTGTACCTTTGGTTCCTAGGGTGTTTCGGCCTTTCATACTATACACCCTCCCCAAAGGCGGCCAGCGACAGGGTGATCAATCCTACGCTTGCGTCCCATTCCCAATTAGTCATAGGAGTTGCCTTGTTGTTGATAGCCAACAGCTTTCATATACCCAGCAACAAGTGTTTGTTGCCATGTCAATCAAAACAAAATGTTTAAATGATGGCATTTTGATTCATATTTTGTCTTGAGATGTGGTCACATTTAGATGCAATACAAATTTTACTAGATAAAATGTTCACTGTATTCAAATTAGGTAAAAAAAAGTCAAATTAATATTTTATTTTTGTGGACCATTCATTGGTAGCCAGCGATGAGACCTAAAAACTTGCTACACTTTAGAACCGGTATTATTCACGGTTTGGGAGGCTGAGACCCAGATTCAAACATAGACTCTGAGTGGTGCTGATGCTGGCTCGGCTGTCTGCAACCTGAGCTAATGAAACAATTTTTCTATTTCAACAGGTAAGGGTCCCACTGAGCGATGTAGCTTATTTTTAAAAGCGACCTGGCCACAAATGATAGCTCAACAAATTGGCTTATCGCGTGGAAATGTAAACCAGCCAAACACTCTAAAACGGGCGTTTTCTGAATGTGGAGGGAAAAACCGGAGGACCCTGGAGAAAAATACACGCGACCATGGGGAGAGAGATATGCGTATACAGGTTTTAAAGGTCGGGATCGAACCCACGACCTCCTGCATCCCAGGCGAGGTAGTTAACATCTCCTAGCCACCGTAGTCAGAGCAATCTGACCACCTCAATAAAAAATATTCCAGGAGAGTGGCAAAGTGCTGACCGCTACTGTATGCGGATCCCGGGACACTTGTATGTAGGGATCTCAGAGGTAGGTCTGTGCTATCCGCTTCGGTCGAAAAGTTCCCGAATACAAAGGGCTGCACTGCCCCGCAAGCTATCTGTAGGCAGATGCGTTCCAAAAAGGCCACACGATGTTTCCCCTCGTCCGACCGCCATAGCCGCGTGCGAGTGAAGTGAAACCGCATACAGCGAATTGTGTAGAAAAAGGGGTTAGCTGCGTATACGGCGTGGAATAGCGCACACACCGAAAACGCATAAAGCGAGGGGAAACCTCTTCATCTTCTTGATTCTTTCGGTAAAGTCACGTAGAAGGGAAATAATAAAATAATAAAAAATACAACATAATAAAATTATTCTTACGACGTTTCGGCCACAACGCAAGCAGCCGTCCTCAGGTGAAGACCAGGTCTGTCTGGGAGACAGCGTCTGAATGACGGGCTTACTGAAGTCACCTGAGGACGGCTGCTTGCGTTGTGGCCGAAACGTCGTGAGAATTATTTTATTATGTTTTATTTTTTATTACTTTATTATTTCCCTTCTACGTGACTTTACCGAAAGAACCAAGAAGATGAATCCCTGCAGTCACGAAAGCTTTAAATCGAGGGGAAACCTGTACTTTGTCTCATGCCGTGACGCTAATAGCACCATCTTGATAAAAAATCCGGGGAGAGGGTGTAAATTACAAACAAATGTAAAAACAAGGCTATGTAATTGTGAATAACCCCACCAAAAATAGATATACATTGCCATTTATATGGATACATTAACTCCCCCCCTCCACCTCTGGTCTTGGCACCTGATTGGCTCACAGGATGTCGGCGTCACATCTATCCGCCGTCCATTTAAAACACAGGAGGAGGATTCCTCCACAACTCTGGCTGTCGCCTGATGATGCTGGTTGTTGTAATTACCGGCGAAACGTAAATGTTGTAGTGGGTTTACTCTCCAACACTCATCCGGGTGGTGTGCTGAAACGGTACCTAACTTGGCCCGTTTTGTTTACGTGACAAACCTCACTAATTGGCTGTGTCAAGTGGTGGCGGGCGGGCGGGGGTTATCGACACGTTCATATATTTACGCGATCTAACCCAACTACTATCGTGGGTAAAAATGAGTGCTATCCCTGGTGTCGTTACGTCGTCGTTGAAGCCCATGTGCATCCCGCAGTCGAGCATGATGTTCTTGCCCCTGATGGAGACAAGAATGCAGCTCCTTCCCACATCTTGCCCGGCTCCTACCGGGGCGGGGGGGGGGGTGATATAACGAGGGCACAGTCACACAGGGTTAGCGGAGACGCACCCCGTGATGAAGTGTCCGTCAATTGGCCCAGAAGCCCCCGACTGGGCATCTGTGGAAAAAAGAAAGAGCTTTATAGCTCATCGGATTCCTCCAGTATGAACACATTCCTGCGGAGGGAGCTGGTAGGAACGTTGGGTTGCTCGGTCAATGGCCAGGGTCAACGGCGGCGTGGTGTATTCCGCAAATATGCCCGACTGTGAGGGCGGGCACAAGCCGGCGTGAGTAGGTTAAACGTTGAGTTTTATAAGGGCACCACGGGGTGACAAGCCCCTCCCCACCCAGCCCCTCCCCACCCAGCCCCACCCCTCCCACCCCCCACCCAGCCCCACCCAGCCCCTCCCCACCCAAACCCTCCCTCCCCACCCAGCCCCCCCCCCCGCACGACGGACGGACACAATAATCCCCTGTGGTCTGGTGTAACCAGGAGGCTCCTACCAGTAATACACATCTTCACACGGCTTCATTTCTCCAGGAATATTTCCAAGACCCCCTTCCCCCAAACACCTTCCCAACCTCCAGACCAAGCGGGCAAGACGCGTTTTCCGGAGCTCAGCCCCGGGCATCTCTGGCTGAAATGAACCCGAGTCTTGAGACCAGAATCACCCGGGCTGCGACCGAAAATGTCGTGTTCCTCCCCCCACACCTCAGATCAGAGGTCGCAAACGGGTTTTGATTCCTTACCCGTACCCGGCCGCACCAGGGTCGCAAACGGGTACCCGTACCCGGCCGTACCCTACCCGTACCCGGCCGGGTACGGGTACCTGATTGCGACCTCTGGGATGAAGCTATGTTGCGGGCGCGGGTGGGTTGATTCTAGGAACTTGAATTGTGAGAAGAGACAAGACGTTGGGAGATGAGTGACAAACGGTGACTCACCAGTGACTCACGGCCTACCCGTACCCGGCCGGGTACGGGTAGCCGGGTATCGGGTAGGGTACGGGTATCGGGTACCCGGTTGCGACCTCTGCCTCAGATTAGCACGGTTGGCTACGTACGGTGCGAAAGAAGTTCAACAAACGTGCATACAGCATGAACAGAGATCGGATGGTGACCATTCACTGCACGAGGGCAATGCAGCAATATTCATAGTTGTACAGTACTCTCAGTATGTATAGATGCGTCCCACGCCGATTGCCCTCATCCAGCAGTGGATTAACAGCCGCACTCATCTCTCCCATTGCTTCACTCACCAAGCGGAGTCACTTTTATCTCGGGCATCTTCCACGGATCTCACCGGCCGGCGGCCTTGTCTAGGCTTCCCGCGGCGAAATCCAGGCGACGGCGTCCGCTCACGGCGACCCCCGAGAAAAAATACAAAATAAATCGTAACCACGCGCAACGAGTGGCCTCACTCACTTAGCGAACGCCCCCAGATTGTGACATAATTTATTCACCCACAGCGAGGATTAGATTAGACAAAATGTGTTGTTTTGCTATCAATTTAAATGCACGTGCTGCATTGCTTTAGCATAACTTGTGTTGATTGACGTAAGCAGGCCGCACGAAATGTGACGTCATGTCACCCCCCCCCACAATGAAATGACGTTGCCGCCACATTCACCAACAAAATGGCGTTACAGTCTCCCGTGACGCCATCCTTAAAAACTTTGAAGTGACGTCACGCGAGCAACGACGTCACGTCCGTGTATAATTACAGGCAGTCCCCGACTTACGATGGAGATGTGTTACGACGACCTCATCGTAAGTCGAAAATAACGTAAGTCGAAAATATCGTAAGTCGAAAATATCGTAAGTCGAAAATATCGTAAGTCGAAAACGTAAGTCGAAAATATCGTAAGTCGAAAATATCGTAAGTCGAAAATATCGTAAGTCGAAAATATCGTAAGTCGAAAATATCGTAAGTTGAAGATGGCCTAGCTTACCCAGGAGTCTTAAAGAATGGTGATAAATTAGCAAAACAGAGCAATTTACAGTACCGTACTGTATAAACTATATACTGTATGTATTTATTAATCACAATACATGCTTTTTTCACTAAAATTGTGTTTTTAAAAACAAAAAACACAGAAAAAACTACACGCGCTAACACCGCGACAACTTAACTCCGCCGACCGCTGGTGAGAGTGAGAGGCAAAGTTCAAAGTTCATGTATTAGGTATAGCCCTGTGAGCCATTCGGCTCTTGAATCGGGTGCAACCGCAACAAAAAAAAACATGAACATGAACAAGAAAACATCTTAAAGTGACTATGTGCAAACAGAAAATCCAAGGCATCACCACACAAGGCGAAAGATGCGTTCAGTACATGCTGCTGCGTTTGCCTGCCGCACGAAATGTTAAATATTTTACAATTTTGTCAAATCGATATCGCCATCGTAAGATCGAAATATTTCGATTTAAAGCTTTCGTGGCTGCAGGGATTCATCTTCTTGGTTCTTTCGGTAAAGTCACGTAGAAGGGAAATAATAAAATAATAAAAATACAACATAATAAAATAATTCTCACGACGTTTCGGCCACAACGCAAGCAGCCGTTCTCAGGTGAAGAATGAAACAGCACCAAGCTTGGAGCGTATATTTAAGCTGGGTTGGAGGTGGGGAGGTGGGAAGAAGAGCGCCTTGACAAATAATTTGCATATCAAGAGGAATTTAGCATATTTATGGAAAATGCGTAGGAGGTGGGCGGGGGGGTGAGAATTATTTTATTATGTTTTTATTATTATTTTATTACTTCCCTTCTACGTGACTTTACCGAAAGAACCAAGAAGATCGAAATATTGTAAGTCGGATCATCGTAAGTCGGGGACTAGCTGTATGTGAGAGCACGTTTGGCCACAATTCGCGTCTGTGTGTGTGTGGCTCTTGCAGACTTGACGCCTCGCTTTCTACTTGGGTCGCTGGTTCAGCAGTTCCACTGCTGGATTATATTTTTCCTCGCCTGAAGACGACCGCTTGTGTTGCGATCGAAACGTCGTGATTTTTATTTTATTTTATACCCCACGTGACTTTTACGGGGCCGTCCATAAATGACGTCACGCGATTTTGGACGATTTTTGACCCCCCCCCCCCCCCCTCGTCACACGGCGTCACAAAAGTCAGACCCCCCCCACCCCTCAAATGTGACGTCACAAAGCTCGGCCTCCCCCCCCCAAGAAAAAATAAAACATGTTTCAAATCGCTTTAAACTATTGTTGTCATTGAAGTGCGTATTTAATGTGGCGCTGCACTCTGATGTAGGAGAAAACATTTATTAAAAAGTATTTTTAATTAAGTAGAACGTGTTGGCTATATTGATTTAAAGTTGCGCATTTTGATGTGACGTCACATTTCTCACCCCCCCCCCCCCCCTAGGTGCGGGGGGGGGGTAAAAAATCGTCCAAAATCGCGTGACGTCATTTATGGACGGCCCCTTATATAAGCGCACAACTTTATCCATCTGCATGTGATGAACGCTGCACTTTCCATCGTTTTCATGCAGGGGGCGCTGCAAACCCACGCGCCCCCTGCATGAACAACGGAGGCGCAGGGACAGACGTTCGATTACGTTGGGATCGATCTGCAGATCGCACAGCCAGCAGTTGTGTCGCCTTATCTCGATCGCGCAAACCCAAGCAGGTGAAAGTCCGCATCGCACCGAACCCCCCGGCAAGGCCATCTACTTCACGACGAGAGAAAATTCACGCGAAATGTCCTTTTCAATGAAGTCTTCCAGATTTAAAATGACGTAACCTTTTAATGAAGAAATAACATTATCTAATTCAAAACAATACAATTCAAAGATGTTTCATTTTAATGCGTCGTTCGTGTGCAACTTTTTAGTGACTTTCCTGGCCGAAGGCTGTAAATGATTGTGAGTGGCGGCGAAGGTGACCCCGAACAACCCCTAGTTCATAATAAAAGGTTTTTGGTTCTAGATTTGAGGCTTTCGTGACTGCAAGGATTCATACTCTTAGGTTTTTTTCGGTAAAGTCACGTAGGTAAAAAATAATAGAAATAAAAGAATAATGAAAATAAATCAATTGCTTCATTTTATTTCTATAATTTTTTACCTACGTGACTTTACCGAAAAAACCTAAGAGTATGAAAGTTTTTTGGGTTAGATCGCGTAAGTATAAATGTTGTATTTCGATTTAAAGCTTTCGTGACTGCAGGGATTCATCTTCTTGGTTCTTTCGGTAAAGTCACGTAGAATGGAAACAATAAAAATAATAAAATTAAACATAATAAAATAATTCTCACGACGTTTCGGCCACAACACAAGCAGCCGTCATCAGGTGAAGACCAGGTCTGTCGGGGAGACAGCGTCTGAATGTTGTGTTGTAACCCTCCACCACCCGATGCAGCCAATTGGTAAGTGATGTCACTGTGGTGTGTAATGTAGTGTATAGTGTAGTGTACTATACTACTTGAGCCCACCGGTGTGTTGGAGAGTAAATCCACAACGTTTACAATTTGAGTAGTAAAACGTTTCGCTGGTAATTACATCCAGCATCATCGGACGTTAAAGTTGCTTTTAAGATTATTTTACATCATTTGGCTGCTATAAATTCCCACGTGACAAGCCACTTTCTCGAGTGATTTCTTTACCTTTCCCACACTTTGCACTCATATCGTGTTTGTGTATTGTTTGTTATTGCCACTTTCCGACCCGCACCTTACTGGACATGTGAAAACAATTGCTGTGGAGTTCATCGGATTCCTCCAGTCTAAATAAAGATTATGCAGTCTAAATAAAGATTATTCCAGTCTAAATAAAGATTCTGAAGTCTAAATAAAGATTATTCCAGTCTAAATAAAGATTCTTAAGTCTAAATAAATATTCTGAAGTCTAAATACAGATTATGCAGTCTAAATAAAGATTATTCCAGTCTAAATTAAGATTCTGAAGTCTAAATAAAGATGATTCCAGTCTAAATAAAGATTCTTAAGTCTAAATAAATATTCTGAAGTCTAAATAAATATTCTGCAGTCTAAATTAAGATTATTCCAGTCTAAGTAAATTTCTGCAGTCTAAATAAATTTCCTGAAGTCTAAATAAAGATTCTGAAGTCTAAATAAAGATTCTGAAATCTAAATAGAGATTCTGAATGAGACCAAAACTGAGCATCAGCTGGCAGGTCTCAACAAATGGCAAACCACTTAAAACACAGCTTCATGATCGGCCGCTGCACAAACAGCATCCCTTTGTAGGTGAATATATGGTCTGAAAAAATAAGAATCGGGTTGACCCTTTCTGGCAATAAAACAGGTGTTAAGGTTTCGATTTGAAGCTTTCGTGACTGCAGGGATTCATATTCTTGGTTCTTTCGGTAAAGTCACGTAGAAGGAAAATAATAAAATAATACAAATATAAAACAATAAAAATTATCAGGTTTCGACTGCAACACAAGCAATCATTATCAGGTGTGAAATCCACAGCAAGAAAATTTGAAAAAAAAATGTTGCTGTCGTGAGGATTTTTGTTTAATATTTTTATTATTGTATTATTTCCCTTCTACGTGACTTTACCGAAAGCACCAAGAATAGGTGTTAAGGTGTTCAAACGCCAAATAGAAACCTGTTGCCAGGAATCAAGTCTGCATTAACCACACAGTACTTGTGGGGAACATGCAAACACAACATGCTCTATATATAGTCTCGTGTCTCTCAGAGCTCTCTTCACTTGATACAGTAATTTTGCTGTGACGGTTCCACCTGAAGACGGAAGCTTGTGTTGCCTCCAAAACGTCGTGATTTAATTTTTGTTTATTTTAATTTTTACCTACGTGACTTTACCGAAAAAACCAAAGAGTATAAAACGTGCTCTGATAATCATACGGCATTGTCTTTGAAACTGATTGGTCTACAACAGAAACAGCAGCCTTTTTAAATCCTTTATATTAAGTTCGCTTGCTTGCTTACGACCGTGCAAATATTTCGGTCGTTTTTTAACCCACTCACCGTGATCCAATCGAGCTGATATTTTCCACACAGACTCGTTGTGCGTGACAATACATTTTCGTGAAATTTTTTCCCAAAATGTTACACTGTTTAGGGAATTTTTATTTTATTTAATTACCAATTGCTTAATGCTGGCAGACAATCATCTGACCCATAGGTGGCAGCCATCTCAAGCCAGAGAACGAGAGGACTCTAGCCGCCCCGATGCCACGCATATAAAGGATTTAGTGAAAAACTTTGTTTTTACGGGTTAATTTTTTTAGGGCCTAGTCTCAACCAGTGGTAGACCAGAGAACGCCAAAGGAGAAACAATATGGTGGAACTTCCTGTTGGAACACACATTTGTCTAGATAGCAATTGATTTCTCAATTGGACGGCAATGACTAAACACCAAAATAAAACTTCGTTTTTAAATGATCTCCTGCATGTTCATCGACGCTGCTTGCAAAAGGCTTGGGGAAATCAAACATTTACGCAACACAATCACATGGCACACGGTTTAAAAAATAAACATTTTATTCATCATCTTTCAAAAAGAGGTTACAATTTCCTTGGCATATTCCAACATTAGCGAAAGCATGAACATCTATTTATGAAATCCCTTTCAACCGGACCGGGAACATTCACTGCAAACGCTTGTACGTGTGCCGCATTCATCTTATAGTGGGTTTACTCGCCTGACACACATCCAGTGTGCTGTACGAGTAACGAATTGACACGTTTAGGGCGGGTTTAACGACACATTTATATTTACGCGACCTCACCAAAATAAAACCTCTCATGGATATTGGTCGCGAAAGCCTGTGTGTTAAACCAAAAAAATAACACTCTCCGAATTGCAGTTTGAGTTATACTTATATGTGTGTGTAGAGATGGAAGCTCATGAAGGACACTACTGGTCAGTTGGAGGCAATCGCCCTCCAACAGCAACGGAGGGCGGAGAAGCAACGCTCACAACAACGAGCGGAGCGCCTAGCACATAAAATTCAGTGAGTTGGCACAGTAGGGGGCACACAGCTGCCGATCAACCCATGGCACCTGCCGGGTCTGTCCTGTGACCTCCTGTCAGCCAGCCTTCGACACTTCACGTGGCCTCAAAGTGCACCTGGCCTGACACAGGCACCGTGGTGACATCGTCACCGTCACTTCGTGGCGAATGGCGACTGTTGGTACATTGTTGGGAGATGTTCTCGATTTTGAGAGAAAACATGGAAAAAAAGAAATTAGGCCTCGTCACTAAATTTGTGACGATGCAAAACTAACATCGCACCCAATGAAGGCACCCACGGCAATGTGAGCGAGAGGCTTTCGCTGAAGCCGCGTTAGTCAACGTTGGACACGACTCCGCACCGACCGCCACAAGCAGTCGTGCAGCGTTGGGGCGACCGTCGCTTTTCTCGCGCGAGGGCGCCTCATGAGTTCGTCCGCAATGGAAACAATCGCCAAAAATCCGAACACCGCAACTCCGAATTTTACGCGAAAAATACTAAATGTTTAAATCCGAAACCCATTCCTAAGATGGTACATGTATGTGTGGCTCCAATTATGAACACAAACTCTGTATAAATACGTGATTATTTAATATCTTGGACCGTTTATATAAAAAAAACGAACAGCAAAATACACAACAGAATTCTGTTCATTTAAGTCTTATAGACATTGATGGGCCCCTTAAAGCCTTTGAACTGGCTCTGCAAGACACTTTACTCAGGAAGCACAAAAACCCACGGGATGGCATCTACGTTCGAGGCAACTCCGTGACGCTGCAGTTAAGTGTGCACACTGGCGATGGTTTTCATAAACGAAGTGTCTTTTCACCCCAGCTTGGTCCAGATTGTGCTCACGGTCACAAGACAAAGGCATCCATTCAGAACTCCTGTGAAGCAGCGTAGCCCTTCCTGTTAATAAAATGGTCCACGTAAGTTGATATTACAGAACTACCGCTGCGATCCAAACAAAGTAGCCTCTGGTCCAAACGGCAGCGGGGCGACCCTTTCCCGGCCGCCCTGCCAGAGAGAAAACCTTCATCGCATAACCATTCAAACTGATTATTGTTTTTATTGTCAAAGACATTAATTTCGGCATATTTTACTACAGAACCAAATTCGATGCGACGGAGTTTTTGCTTTTTTCGATTTAAAGCTTTCGTGACTGCAGGGATTCATCTTCTTGGTTCTTTCGGTAAAGTCACGTAGAAGGGAAGTAATAAAATAATAAAAATAAAACATAATAAAATAATTCTCACGACGTTTCGGCCACAACGCAAGCAGCCGTCCTCAGGTGAAAAACAGGTCTGTCGGAAAGACAGTGTCTGAATGAACACCACCACGCTTGGCAGCGTATATTTAAGCTGGGTTGGAGGCGGAAGAGCGCCTTGACAAAGAAATTTGCATATCAAGAGGAATTTAGCATATTTATGGGAAATGCAGATATGGGATTAGTCACTACTTGTGAAATGCCTACCTCCTACGCAAACCTGTTCTTCACCTGAGGACGGCTGCTTGCGTTGTGGCCGAAACGTCGTGAGAATTATTTTATTATGTTTTATTGTTATTATTTTATTATTTCCCTTCTACGTGACTTTACCGAAAGAACCAAGAAGATTTCTGTTTTTTGTTTGTTGCTTTTTGTGCAGTCGTTGGTGACCCCGGCTGCCTGAGAACCCGCTTTAATCGCAGGCGGCTGTCACCCTGGATTCGAACCCAGACCTTCGAGCCACCCGGCCACCACCTTGGCAGTTGTTAACACGCCGCTTTTAGAGTCTCGTGAACCCCATTTAAATCCACGCAACGGTGATTAAAACAATTTAACTGGTGAGGCCTACGAAAGTTCCGCGGTGTGAACCAGTGGCGGGCAGCACATGGAAGTGCAGCAAAGTCCACTTGGACTGTGCTATGCTCCAAAGCTGCACCGACCGGCGTGGTGAAGTATGGTCAAATAACCCACCACGACCCGCACGGCGTGGGGAGAGACCCTCGTCCAACAGTGGCTTCATAAAGGGGCAGTACAAAAAAATACATATCATACACAAAGCAATATAAATACTAATCATTTAAATAAATACGACAACAATATCATCACCTGTATATGGAAGACGCAGCCCCAATCGTAAATTTAGCTCGCCACACGCGCACTCTCGTACGGGTGCTGTAGCGATGCTAAACTGTCGCAGAACCGACTCGAAACCACTTCAAACAACACTCAAGGCCCCCCCCCATAAAACGCCAACAGTCGATCGTGGTGGAGTCTTGTTCAACGACGTACTGACTCGTTAGACTGACTCGTCAGACAAGTCCACGGTGCGCTCACTGCAGCGACGCAGGATGATGCTGCCGACGATGCTGCTGATGGTGGTGACGGTGGCTGATGCAGCGACGCTGATGATTGGTGTTCACTTCGGGATTTTTAGCGTCGTTGATAATCGCACGCAGGAAACGATCACCAATTGATTATCGGTTCTCCGCCCATATCCACATTTCTGTGTGTGTCGGTCGGTGTGTGTGTCGGTGTGTGTGTCGGTGTGTGTGTATTTGTAGGGAGTGGTGGCGCAACGGTTAGTACGTTGGTGCGTTGCGCTACAAATCCGGCGACCCAAGTTCGATTCCTGCTTAAGGCCAACACCAGTGACGATTATTTGCACTGGTCCTGGGCCTCCCCTAGGTCGACTCAACCTCAAATAATTGCCTGGTGCGATGTGTAAACATCGCCACTGGGGAGACAAAGGCGGCCGGGCGTGGTGCTGGCCACCCACCCCGTCGTGTGCCGTGCCGGCCTTCATAGGTGCTCGCTAACAGCACTTGCCCCTACAGTCTGTTGAGGCTACACGGGGGATCTTTGTCTTTGTTGGAATTCGTTTCTAAGAGATAGATACCCGTCCGACCGGGGAAAGCCACGCTCAGTCAGCCCCCGGGCAGAGTAGGGTGCAGAGGTCGCAAACGGGTTTTGATTCCTTACCCGTACCCGCACCCGGCCGCACCAGGGTCGCAAACGGGTACCCGTACCCGGCCGTACCCGTACCCTATACCCGTACCCGGCTGGGTACGGGTATAGGGTACCTGATTGCGACCTCTGGGATGAAGCCATGTTGCAGGCGCGGGTGGGTTGATTCTAGGAACTTGAATTGTGAAATGAGTGACAAACGGTTACTCACCAGTGACTCACGGCCTACCCGTACCCGTACCCATACCCGGCCGCACACCAGGGTCGCAAACGGGTACCCGTACCCGGCCGGGTATGGGTAGCCGAGTATCGGGTAGGGTACGGCTATCGGGTACCCGGTTGCGACCTCTGGTAGGGTGACAAGAGTCTGCGTTGCCTCGGTGGTTTTATCAAGGTCGCTTCTCCAGGAAAGGCTTTCAACCGAGTCTCAAGACTCCTGTTTTTCTGTCAGGAGGCTCCTGCTGAGAGGGATTGTTTGACCAAGGAGGTGTGGGTCCCCGCGCTTACGAACGAGGACTCGGGAGAAAACCCACCGCTCGCACGTAGGGGGATAACGCTTTAAAATAAAAAAAATGTAAAAATCTTACAGGCGCCGACAGCAAACCTACTTGCTGCACTGCTGTTGATGACGCCCCCACCTTAGAGGTCATCATCGGGTTCTGCTTCTAGGCGCAAGTGGTGCTGTTGTTGCTGCTGCTACGACTCTTGCTGCTGCTACTACTCCTGTTGTTATCGTTGCTGCTGCTGCTGCTGCTACTCCTGTTGTTATCGTTGCTGCTGCTGCTGCGACTCCTGTTGTTATCGTTGCTGCTGCTGCTACTCCTGTTGTTATCGTTGCTGCTGCTGCTGCGACTCCTGTTGTTATCGTTGCTGCTGCTGCTACGACTCTTGCTGATGCTACTACTCCTGTTGTTATCGTTGCTGCTGCTGCTGCTACTCCTGTTGTTATCGTTGCTGCTGCTGATACTCCTGTTGTTATCATTGCTGCTGCTGCTGCTACTCCTGTTGTTATCGTTGCTGCTGCTGCTGCTACTCCTGTTGTTATCGTTGCTGCTGCTGCTACTCCTGTTGTTATCGTAGCTGCTGCTGCTGCTACTCCTGTTGTTATCGTTGCTGCTGCTGCTGCTACTCCTGTTGTTATCGTTGCTGCTGCTGCTGCTACACCTGTTGTTATCGTTGCTGCTGCTGCTACTCCTGTTGTTATCGCTGCTGCTGCTGCTACTCCTGGTGTTAATTTCCACTACTACCCCTTGATGCCGCTGTTGCCGCAACTGCTGTAGCTACTGCCACTGCTGCTCATGCTGAAGCTGCTGGTACTGCTAATACTGCTGCTACTACCGGTTTTGGTTGTTGTTGCTAGCTCGTGCTGCTGCTGCTGCTGCTGTATCTACTGCAGCCACCACCACCGCTTACGCTGCTGCTTCTAATTGCCACCACTAGCCTTGATGCTGCTGCTGCTGTTGCTGCTGCTGCTGTTGCTGCTTCTGTTACTGCTGCTGTATCTACTGCAGCCACCACCACCACTTACGCTGCTGCTTCTAATTGCCACTACTAGCCTTGATGCTGCTGATGCTGCTGATGCTGCTTCTGTTACTGCTGCTGTATCTACTGCAGCCACCGCCACCGCTTACGCTGCTGCTTCTAATTGCCACCACTAGCCTTGATGTTGCTGATGCTGCTGCTGTTTCTGCGTCGCTTTTCTGTCGCCGCCGCCTCGACCGGTGCCACCGCAGCCTCTTGCTGGCGCTGTTAAGAGTCGCTCGGCTGGCCTCACGGGGTGAGGTGGGAGGGGCGACGGCCTATCCGCCGAGCAGGTAGACGACGACCTCGTACGTGGCCATCATGATGGCCGTGTTGGGCACCTGCCGCAGGAGGTGAGCGGGGAGGCCGCGGTACAGCGCCCGGCCGCCCTCCTCGCGCGCCACCACGCGCAGCGTCTGCACCAGCGAGCGGTACTTGGTGCCCTCCTCGCGCAGACGCGTGCGTGCCACCTCTGCTTCCGCAGCCAGGGACGGAGGGGGGAGGGGACGGAGGTGGAGGGAGGAGGAAGGAGGTGGAGAGAGTGAAAGACGGAGGGAGATCAAGAATGGCATGCAAATAAAACAATAACAACAATTCCGGAGCGACTTTCACGGACATTCACCCATGGTCCTTCGATAAACGATCCACTCCTGACTTACATAGGGCTCAGACTTGTTTATAAAGAATCCCAAAATCAAGAAAGGACCCATAGATGCACAACATGTGTGCAGCGGCAATATCACCATCAGCAACAACAATTCCCACCACCATTACCATCGCCGGAACAACTACCATCAGCAACAATACTGAAGACAAAGATCCCTCGGACAGCCTTACGAGACTGTTGGGGCAAGTGTTGTTAGCGAGCATCTATGAAGGCCGGCACGGCACACGAGGGGGTGGGTGGCCAGCACCACGCCCGGCCGCCTTTGTCTCCCCAGTGGCGATGTTTACACATCGCACCAGGCAATTATTTGAGGTTGAGTCGACCTAGGGGAGGCCCAGGACCAGTGCAAATAATCGTCACTGGTGTTGGCCGTCAGCAGGAATCGAACTCGGGTCACCGGGTTCGTAGCGCGGCGTGGTAACCTCTACACTACCGCTCCCCAGAAACCACCAACACCAATAATCGCCATTCGCCACTGACGGTGACGTCACCACAGCGCCTGTGCCAGGCCAGGTGCACCTTAAGGCCATGTGAAGCGTCGAAGGCTCGCTGCTGACAGGAGGTCACGGGACAGAGCCCAGCTGTCGTGGGTTGACCGCCTGAGATGGCTGGCAGATGCACACCAGCTGTGCCCCCTACTACATTGTGAGCGGTTGCACCCGATTCAAGAGCCGAATGGCTCACAGGGCTATACCTAATCAATGAACTTGAACTTGAGCGTCGCCCCTCTGCCCTACCCATTGTTGTTGGAGGGCGACTGCCTCCAATTGACCACCACCACTTCTAGCACCAACACCCCCCACCCCCGCCAATGAGCGGGTTGTGAGCGTGCGCCCGCACCCCACGCCGGCCTCACCATGTGGGTAGGCCAGGCAGGACGCGCAGGCCTTGGAGCAGGCCGCGGCGCACATCAGCACCAGGAAGTCGCTGGCCAGCCGCCCGTCCTCCGCCGTCGCCACGGCGGCGGCAGCAGCGGCGGGGGCGGCCGCGGCCACGACGACCGAGGTGGCGGTGCCGCCAAGACGCCGGGATGCCCCCTCCGCCCTGGGCCCACCACCGCCGCCGGCGCCGTCGCGGCCGGAGTTGTGTCCCCGCGCCTCCAGCAGCCGCCTCTTGAGGCTCTCGTAGAGCACAAAGTGAACGATGGTCTCGGAGATGCCGGCGTAGGAGGCCGTCATTCCGCGGTAGAATCCGCGGACGCCCTCCGTGCGGTACACCTTGCGCACGCACTGCAGCGCCGTCATGCCGCGCTCGCCGCGGCTCCTGCGGGGGAGGGGAGGGGGGGCAGCGTGCGAAATCGTCGTCATAAAACGACGCCGTATAACCGCCACGTCAATCGCTCGTTAGTGATTACACAGCAATTTTAGTTTTTTACTTGCACAGATCCCAAAGGCCCCGCAGAGCCTTCTGGGAGTGCGTCATGTCAGCGGTGCCGATTCAAGACGAAGAAAAGCAAAATCTCTCGGGTTGTCAAATAATTTTGACCGATCACCCAATCGCAGGGCTGCGCTTTTACCGTTTTAAACCGAGAAACGACGGCAAATGTAATCGTCCCACTGCGGTCGGTTACCCGGTTCCCGACCTTTCAGAGTGTGAAAGCGGTGACGTGGCTTCACCGGTCATCAATTAACCCCGTCCCATTCCGATGACGTGTGTGCCCGTCATCAGTTTTACTTCCAATTCCGTTTTCTTTGCATTCTGTTCTGATGACAGCGGTGTACGTCATCGGAATGGAAATGGATGAAAAAATTAAATAACTTTATCGGTACCGAGGCTACCACGAGGCCATGCGGGAGGGCGCGTGGCACGGTTTGGCGC